GCCTCTACGATGCCTGATGACTGCCCTTATCATCCCCGAAACGGCCCCGTGACAGCTTTTGATAATTTTCAAGTCGAATGTTATTCATAGCACTTCAGGAAAACGGTTTTCTAAAGAATCAAGTATACACTCCTGTTTTCATTCGAAAAGCCTGGTGCATTTTCAGAAGCAGAAACATACACCAAGACAAAACAACAACAACAACAACAATAAAAATTGCCCTGGCTCCATTTCTTTCAGGTGTATTACTCAATCGATTTATATGTAAATCCCACAGTGTCCCGACTAGACCTCCATCACAGCAAGGCTAGGGCAGCCCCAGCAAACGAGCAGTGAGCAGCGAAGATCAGGATCTTGTCTGCAAGGCGAGCCTGTCCTTAGTGCAGGAAGATTAATGAGGCTGACTCAGATGGAATTAGTCCTGGGCAAGAACCGGGGTGCAGAGATCTCATTAGCAAGCACCCTTGTGGAGGGGCGCACCTGCAGGGTTACAGACAGGGATGGTCCCTCAATAATCTTTGAGGGAGGCTCTTGAAGGCAATAATAGTAACACAGAAAGAAAGAAAGAAAGAAAGAAAGAAAGAAAGAAAGAAAGAAAGAAAGAAGGAAGGAAGGAAGGAAGGAAGGAAGGAAGGAGGGAAGGAGGGAAGGAGGGAAGGAGGGAAGGAGGGAAGGAAGGAAGGAAGGAAGGAGGGAAGGAAGGAAGGAGGGAAGGAAGGAAGGAGGGAAGGAAGAAAGAAATGAAGAAATGAAGAAAATGGAATGTCAGACAAACAACTGAAATGTAACCAAAATGAATACTACTAATATTTTTACTAATATAAGTATTCCTAATGGAGAATAAAAATATTCTCCATTTCATCCCAGCCCCTCAGCTCTTTTTACTTCATAACAACACTTTTCCCCTAAAAGCCATCACATCTCTTTTCAAATAAATGCTTGAAAAGAGTCTCGGTCTTGAGAAATACGAAGGCAAACTGAAGCTCAGGTTAGGAGATTTTCTTATTAACATTTTAACTTTCTGGGTTATAAATATTTCACTCTGCCTGTCCATCTGTGACACGAGTGGAGTTACAGAAGAAGGATTTTCTCCAGTTTGAGATCAATTTTCTCTTCCCCCATCTCGCTGGGATTTACTGTAGGTGACTCGAAATTGATAAGGTTGTTCCCTGAAGAGTGTTGAGACATACATGAAGCCATTTCCCAGGAAGGCTTGTAAACGTCTTACTGATTTCCACTCACCGTGATTAGGGGTTGCTGTGGGCACCGGAGGCTGTGGCCAAGGATGCTAACTTTTGCCACGTGCTGCACTTTGCCATCCCACGGGAAGTGTTCTCCAACCCACGTGAAATACGAATGTCCCACAAAACTAATCACATGATAGACAGAGGTATCATTTTCACAATAACATTGGCATTGAGGCATTTTAACAAGAAGTTCTAGGAAAATACCCATAACTATAGGAGGCATCATAACAGAGGAAAGCATAACTACAACAAAGATAACTGCAGTGAAATTCTGAATTATTAACTCTTCCTGCTCAGCAGCCCACTTTACAAATACCATGCATGCTCCCCACCCAGATTTCACAAATAATTTACCACAACTGTTTCAAAAACATTCCTTTCTAGTCATTATAGCACGTCAGCAATAGGATGGAAAATTCACTTGAACCACTTTTCAATAATAATTTTGTTTTTTTCCCCTTTTGGGTCACACTTGGTGGTGCTCAGGGGTCCCTCCTGGGTTCTGAGCTTGAAAATTATTCCTGATGGTGTTCAGGGGGCCATATGGGATGCTGGGGATCGAACCTGGGTTGACTGCACACATGCAAGACAAATGCCTTACCTGCTGTACTACTGCTCTGGCCCCTCTAACTCTGTCTCTCTCTCTTTTAATTTTATGCTTCAACTTCCTAAAACTTATAGAAGTCTTTCTATAAGACAGGAATGATAAATACGGCATTCCACACTCATGTCTTCTTGTCCTAATCTAGATTTTATTTCATGCATTGTGTGGAGTTGTGTTTGACTTCTCCAGACCCCTCAAGTACTTCCCAATGGTAGGAGAACCATTTATTCCATGCTCCTATCTTCTTAAGTTCATTTACAGAGCCACTGGGGTCATCTATCAGATTCTGTAGATAGGGGAATCTGTTGTTTTATTTTTACTAATGTAGGCCTTTATTTTATTAAATATCTATAAATATGTTGTATCATAAAGTAGGGCTGGAGCAATAGCACAGCAGTAGGGCGTTTGCCTTGCACGCAGCCAACATGGCGGACCCGAGTTTGATTCCTCCGCCCCTCTCGGAGAGTATCTCGCCTGCACGGCAAAGCCTGGCAAGCTACCCGTGACGTACTCAATATGCCAAACACAGTAACAACAAGTCTCATGATGGAGACGTTACTGGGCTGCTCGAGCAAATCGATGAACAATGGGAGGACTGTGACTGTGACCATGATCATAAAGTAACTGATTTTTATTATCATCACAGTTTTTCTTTCGATTAATATTTGTCTGATATACTTTATTATCTCCTTTTGCACATTTGCCTGAATTTTCTATTTACCTCTTATAAAGAGCTTATAATAGATTTTGTAATTGGTGAAAATTTCCACTGTTAGGCAATCTTTGTTTACGTTCTAGGCTTTTCCTTTTCTAACAGGATTGGTTGACTTTTGTTCATTACCTCCCCCCTTCTACTAGCTTAGAAATTACACATTCTTTCTCCAGTGTTTTAGTGATCACCATTACAACTTTTTTAATAACATTCTTGCCCTTCTGCATTTCTCGTGAGCAAAAACAGTGACTTTATTTTGTTCTAGATTAGCTTTTCAAATGGGATCAGATGAAAATCAGACTTGGAAAACAGACACAGGATCTCCCTCTGTAGCAAAGGGCAGGTCACATACAATTGGATCTCTCATTTTTTCTGACTGTGGCCCCCTTTTGACCTTGCTTCCTTCCTGTGCCCCCATTCTACTGATTACCCCACTAGTCTTGTGCCAAAGCCCCCACCCCATATACTGGGTTTCACCTGGGGTCCTTTGGGGATAGGCTAATGCTCACAGGGGTCTGGGGCATATGGTCGAGAAATGCTGATGCATAGGCCTTAAAGAAAAAAACTGCTTTCTCTGAACATCAAACCCAGGATTTCTTTTCTATAACACAGTCCACTGCTTATGCAACCCTCTAAGATGTCTCTGTGGGATCTGGGGGGGATGGAGAACCAACACAAATACGCCGCGGCCAAACCACTTGCTGTGCGGAGAGAGTGACCTCTGCTCCTGCTCAGGAGCCCTGCTCTGCTGCCCATATTCAGGAAAACAATGCGGGCTCACTTTTGAGCTCTCACATAAGGTAAAATCAGGCCCTAGGTCTGAAAGTTCCCTCACTTGACCTCCCAAAATAATGAGCATATTTATTTCACCCTCAAATGCTACAAAGAGACACAAGAACAGTTTTAGCCTGAGTTACCACCAATTATTTTTTTCTTTTACCTTTTATGTTATCATGACTTAGTTTTATTTTCAGATTTCTATTGCCTTTTCCCAGTTGACTCTAAGTATAAATGTGTGCCACTGTTTAGATTTACAAACTTGTGAGGATGCGATGATTTTCTTGGAGAGGGTGGAGCTGTGCCAAGCACACAGTAAACACTTAACCTGTGCCCACATCATTAGGTTTTAACAATGTGGTTTCTGCTACCCAATGCTCACTACACTGTGGTCATTCAGGGTGAACCACCGTCAGAATGAACCACCGACCACGGTCAGTCTTCTATGTAGTAGCAAGTACAAGGAGCTGCTCTTGTAATTTTGAAAAATAATTATTCCTCCTTTAATGCATCTTACCTAGTGTCATTTATCCTAAAAGCACAGCTGAGCTGTTATCTTCATAATTTCTTTACTTCTAGCCAATAATATATACATGCACACCTCCTATGATCTTACACACACTGAAACATTCTAATGTAAGTGATTTCTCCAAAAGTCCAGAGGCATGTGATTCTGCAGATGTTAAGGATGGTGACTTTAGGTCTCAGAGAGCTGACGCGGGATAGAGTGACAAAAAGCGATAAAGTGGGACCAAGCACAGTCAAGAGCCTCAGTCTCAATTCCCCTAGTGGTAAGACAGCCAGAGAGACAGAGATGACAATGATGGAACTCAAGAAACTCAGAGGCTCAGCTCTGTGACTAGTCTCTGTGAGGCAGCCCTCCCACTCCTGAACTTCTTACCCATTAACTTGACAGTTACCTCCTTCCTACAACTTACAGGTTTATTCTGAAAATCAAACAAACTAATGTTTATTAAAAAATTCTTAACTAAAGCAGTTTGCAAGAATTTATAGAATCCATGTCATTGCTATTTAAATGCAATGAATGTTAGTATAAGCATTTTTCACTCCTAATTTTGACCACCACTATACTGGTGTTTGGGCCGTAAACCTCAAGGGGAAAAGGCATGACCAGAAAACAGAAGGTAACAATAACTCTAGCTGAAAAAGCATCTTTGGAGGTTTAAAAAAACCTTCGATGCTGCATTCCAAGTGACCTTTCAAACCTCCCTGGCACATTCCAGGAAGAAGAGAAGGCCAACTCACGGCCTTGCCAGCTCGGGGTGGGCAGAAGGGGACCCTGAGTCCAAGCCTGAGACAGCTGCTGAGCAGCTAACGGAGCAAGACAAACTCTGGCCAAGTTCACGGTGAGCTACCAAGCAGAGCACAGAAGCAGCTACTTCAGAATCCAGAGTCTGCATTTCCCACTGTTTCCAAGATGCTGTCGAAATACCTCAGGTACTTCCGCTCTACTGAGAGTGTGAATGCGGATGGTTGCTCCACAGATCCTGACAACTGTATCTGAGAGCAGGACTGGGCATGAACCAATTTCTCTGGCAACAGGACTTTAAAAAAAAAAACACAAACAAACGCATTCTCTGTGCCAGTGATTTCTGTTTCCCTGTCTGTCCCACGGTCTGTTAATGCAGCATGTACTTACATCGGGAATAAATCCGATCTCATTGAGATGGTTGCTCAGCTCGGGATCGTGAAACGCGATCATCTGGGAGAACACGGTCAGGTACTCTGAAACGATGACAGAGTTTACAACAGAATCATCCTGATTCCACAGTGTCTCAAGGAGGTTGAATTCATGGAAATTAGTTGGACTGACATCTTACAGGAGATCTCATTTTTTCCATGAAGATACACTTTAATAGATCATTTACCTTTTATTGTCATCACTTAATCACTTACTGCTAATTTTTAAGCAAACATACCTCAAAGGCAATGGCACTCATTGTCAGTGCTAAAACTTATTTCCTGAATAACAAATCATACATGTGATGCATGATGTCTTCCTAGTATATTCTGTGAACACATTTCTCCAGGCATACTAAATGTCTTTCACTTAATGTATGTTAAGAAAGTATAACAGATACTTAAACAACATTTTATAACAGTCACACCTGGAATAATTAAGCTCAGATTGGTTTATCTAGACTGAGAACAGCATTGGTTCCAGTTCTGCTGGATTTCCATCTCAGACTCTGTATTTGGAACATCCAGGCTACTTGGACAGTCAGCAAATGTATTACTACATGACATGGTAGGTAATATAAAATAGCTGTGATAATTCAATTCTGATACTAATTCACTGGGTTCAGTTAGAATATGAGGCTAATGTCGTTAGTGTTCCCATTCTTTCAGCAAATTGTCATTCTTGCCAATTTAGTCACTATGTACTGAAACGACAGTGTCGACCATTCACTCCATTTACTCATATTTTCACGAATTAAAACACAAAATTATCACATATTTCAAAGAGCTAAATTTTTAAATTATTTTTTCTGAGAATGAAATTGCAATCACACAATGGAAGATTTCATTTAATTTGGAGGTAAAAGAGTGGGGAAAGGGGTCCGTTTGATAATGGGAAAGGCACTGGCATTCTGGTGGTGAGTGTGGTGAGGCATATATTCAGGGGTGAAGCTGTGCCCCCAGCATTTACAAATTATTATAAACCAAGGATAATTTTAATTAACAAATAAAGTAGGACCCAGAAAAAAAGATTAATTAATAAGTTTAAATCCTTCCTTCAATAAAGTGAGAGGTCTATTGCTTGAACAAGTCATGTGCTGAAAATAGCTTCTCAGAAGAACGTCTGCTGTTCTTTTGCAGCGTTTCAGGGCAGGATGGGAAATGTTGACTGTCGGTTTTGTGCCGTGCAGCTTCAGCTGTAGTGCTGTTCTCGTTGCTGGGAATAGCCCTGCACACCAAACTCTTTTATTTGAAAATCCTGATGCATATTATTGGTATAAAAATCCCCACCTGAGAGGGGGAGAGTTAGGTGACAATGCAGGCAGTGAGTGGCGGGACTCTGAGTGACCTGCTCTAGGGGTTGGGCCAGACTGTGTTGTGCTGTCGCAGAACAGGGCAGAGCTAGACTGAGCTGGAGCCTGGACAGGAAGGGCACCAGACGATGAACAACTCGTATGGTCGTGCGGAACTTAAACAGGATGGAGCAAACAAAGACTCCCAGCAACAAGGTACCCCCCCCCCCAACCACTCCTGAATCCCAAGTCACATCCCTCCTGCCTCAATATATCTGTTGCACAGCAACCAACTGAGAAACTCCGTTCTACTCCTCTTCACCTCTGTGACCTGCAAGTCTGCTACACTGCAGAAATGTTCCTCTGTAAGTGCTCTTATATTCAGCACCATCATTTCCGGTGGCTGCCTAACGTTAATGCCATTGACATTAATGAATTAATTAAATCTCCCAGCTTTTTATTTTTCCTTAAAGACTCGGTGTGCTTGATTGAGCAAACTCCATTACAACAGTTTTAAGTCATCTTGCTCATTTTCCTCAAGTTTGCTTTGAATGGCTACAACGCATTTGACGATTCTTTGCTACTGTAAGCACCACTGCACACTTTAGAAAGGGGAAGATCACAGCCCCAAGGAAAGGAGGACTTGCTGTATTCAGAACCACGAGGAGCCTGGACTCCAAACCCATGTGAGGAAGGGTCTTGCATGACACCTCTTCTTGATTTGAGACTCATTTTATTGCGACAGAACTCTCTGGCCATAGGCTGATTTTTTCTTCTGAGAAAAAGGGAGGTACATTTACATCAGTTGCAAGAATTACAGATTTAAGGAGACTCAGGACAGACCTCGAGGCCTGGGGAACTTGAGGGTTTAACTAGTTTTCAAAGTTTCTCCCCCTCTACTTTGTGATGGTCTGTTTCTAGGTCTAATGTCCCCAGAAACTAGGGTATGTTCCGGCAACAGCATTCACTCTCAACTGTTTGCTGAAGCAGTCACTGACTTTGACTTCAGGCTTCTGTTAAACCGGAAAAGCAGGTCTGAAGCAGTTCTCCAAAGTTCTCTCCCATTTATTAACTCTCATTCTTACCTGAGCCTGATAAAAGAGAATTACTGTACGGGATTACATAGCTCATAAAAGATCTACTGGAGAAATCTAATATCTCATGAAAACATTTTCCTGGTGACAGCTACTGGATTTCTGTCACAGATAAAGTGTGTTAGAACTTTGTACATGCATAGCACAGACACATAAATATACAGAAATACATGCAGGTATTTCTTTTAAATGTAATTATTATTTCATAATAATTTAATGGAGATTAAGGCCTGGCATGGAGTTTGGTTGATCAAGACAAGTTTTGAATGAGATCACTTAATCACTTAAGTGATCTCATCACTTAACTTCCTGTTAATCGTCGATTTAATCGTGTGGATATGGTCGATGGTGCTGAATCCTTTGCGGAACCCTGCTTGCTCTTTTGTCTTCCTTCGTTGTGGCAGCCTAGGTCGGCCTTGAGATTTTGTCGGCCTCTCCTTTCTCATCCTTCTCAGTGCTGCCATGTCGGTGAAGCCTTCAGGGTCAGGTGAATGAGACCAGTTGTAGTTACTGGTTTTGGCATATCGAATACACAGCGGATAGCTTGCCAGGCTCTTCCGTGCGGGCGGAATACTCTCGGTAGCTTGCCAGTCTTTCCGAGAGGTATAGAGGCTTTTGGGGTGACCTCTAATCACCCTTGTAGGTGTTACCATATTTGAACCCTATCAAATATGGTACGACAATTCCAGAAGACGGGTATTTAGTGTCTTATGATGTGTCGCGCGGCCGCTTGCGGCCGCGCGGGTCCGGAAAGCGTCCTGGAGTGTGGCGACGGCTGGGTAGTGGAAGTAGTGTCGAGAGTGGAAGTCTGCCAGTGGGATATTTATCTGGGTAGGGTGGGTCTCCTGTGCACAATTCGATCCCTGGGTGGTTGATGGAAGCAGACAGGGCAGGGTAGGGTGGGGCTCCTAATTAGAATCCCTTTGTCACCTGTGGTGGTGGGAGCAAGCAGAGAAGCTCTGTCCCTGGGTCCGCCGAGCCTGGAGTCCAAGGTCTCAGAGAGTTCCGCTTACCTTGTTCTGTGGGTCTTCAGTTGTGCGTGGGTCTCGGCCGGAGCGGCCGCGCGGGTCCGGAAAGCGTCCTGGAGTGTGGCGACGGCTGGGTAGTGGAAGTAGTGTCGAGAGTGGAAGTCTGCCAGTGGGATATTTATCTGGGTAGGGTGGGTCTCCTGTGCACAATTCGATCCCTGGGTGGTTGATGGAAGCAGACAGGGCAGGGTAGGGTGGGGCTCCTAATTAGAATCCCTTTGTCACCTGTGGTGGTGGGAGCAAGCAGAGAAGCTCTGTCCCTGGGTCCGCCGAGCCTGGAGTCCAAGGTCTCAGAGAGTTCCGCTTACCTTGTTCTGTGGGTCTTCAGTTGTGCGTGGGTCTCGGCCGGAGCGGCCGCGCGGGTCCGGAAAGCGTCCTGGAGTGTGGCGACGGCTGGGTAGTGGAAGTAGTGTCGAGAGTGGAAGTCTGCCAGTGGGATATTTATCTGGGTAGGGTGGGTCTCCTGTGCACAATTCGATCCCTTGTTCTGTGGGTCTTCAGTTGTGCGTGGGTCTCGGCCGGAGCGGCCGCGCGGGTCCGGAAAGCGTCCTGGAGTGTGGCGACGGCTTGTTCTGTGGGTCTTCAGTTGTGCGTGGGTCTCGGCCGGAGCGGCCGCGCGGGTCCGGAAAGCGTCCTGGAGTGTGGCGACGGCTTGTTCTGTGGGTCTTCAGTTGTGCGTGGGTCTCGGCCGGAGCGGCCGCGCGGGTCCGGAAAGCGTCCTGGAGTGTGGCGACGGCTGGGTAGTGGAAGTAGTAGTGGGTAGTGGCCTTTGATTCTGTTGAGACGGAAGCGGTCATTGAAGCCCTAGCCAATCAGGGCATACAAGCCCAATACATCAGGATCCTCCGTGAGCTGTATTGCGGATTCACTACCAGGATCTCACCATTCTACAAAGAAGTGATTGTTGATGTCAAGAGAGGGGTGCGGCAGGGTGATACCATTTCACCAAAACTCTTCAGTGCCACCCTCGAGAACATCATGCGACGACTGGAATGGGAAGGAATGGGAGTGAAGATAGATGGTCGGCAACTACACCACCTCCGCTTTGCTGATGACATTGTTTTAATAACACCAAACATCAGCCAAGCGGCACAAATGCTGGCCGACTTTGACCGTGAGTGTGGAAAGGTAGGACTACAGCTGAATCTTACGAAGACAATGTTTATGAGAAACAGCCTTGTTCCTGACGCCCCATTCGCTCTCAATGGAACGACCATCTCCGAATGCAACAGCTATGTGTACCTAGGTCGAGAGGTCAACATGACAAATGACCTGGCACCCGAGCTGCGCAGGAGGAAGAGAGCGGCTTGGAACGCCTTCAAGAACGTCGAAGAAATAGCTAAGAGGACGAAGAACCTCCGGCTCCGGGCACATCTCTTTGATTCCACTGTTCTTCCTGCATTAACATATGCCTCAGAGACCTGGGCCCTACGCAAACAAGATGAGAACGCCATTCAGGTCTCCCAAAGAAGAATAGAAAGAGCTATGCTTGGAATATCACGTTTCACTCAAATGAGAGAACGAATCCGGAGTTCTGACATCCGTCGACGATCAAGGATCAGGGACGCTGTCTCATTTGCCAAGGTGTCGAAAATCAGATGGGCTGGTCACGTAATGAGATTTAAAGACGACCGTTGGACTAGAGCTGTTACTGATTGGATTCCACGGGATGTCAAGAGACCGCGTGGCCGCCCACCTACCAGATGGTCAGACTTCTTTGTCAAGGTCATGAACGATCGGTTTGAGGCCCTCCATGTTCCCGGAGCGAAGAGATGCCATTGGGCTACACTAGCACGCGACAGGGACAAATGGAGACGTTACTGGCGCCCGCTCGAGCAAATCGACGACTAACGGGAAGTTAAGTGATTAAGTGAAGTGATTAATCGTCGATTTGCTCAAGCCGGCACCAGTAACGTCTCCATTTGTCCCTGTCACGTGGTAGTGTAGCCCAATGGCATCTGTTCACTCTGGGAACATGAAGAGCCTCAAACCGATCGTTCATGATCTTGATGAAGAAGTCTGACCATCTGGTAGGTGGGCGGCCACGCGGTCTTTTGACATTCCGTGGAATCCAGTTGGTAACAGCTCTAGTCCAGCGGTCATCTTTAAATCTCATTACGTGACCAGCCCATTTGATTTTTGACACCTTGGCAAATGAGACAGCGTCCTTGATTCTTGATCGTCGACGGATGTTGAACTCTGGATTCTTTCTCTCATTTGAGTGAAACGTGATATTCCAAGCATAGCTCTTTCAATTCTTCTTTGGGAGACCTGAATAGCGTTCTCATCCTGTTTGTGTAGGGCCCAGGTCTCTGAGGCATATGTTAATGCAGGAAGAACAGTGGAATCAAAGAGATGTGCCGGAGCCGGAGGTTCTTCATCCTCTTAGCTATTTCTTCGACGTTCTTGAAGGCGTTCCAAGCCGCTCTCTTCCTCCTGCGCAGCTCGGGTGCCAGGTCATTGGTCATGTTGACTTCTCGACCTAGGTACACATAGCTGTTGCATTCAGAGATGGTCGTTCCGTTGAGAGCGAATGGGGCATCAGGAACGAGGCTGTTTCTCATAAACATTGTCTTCATAAGATTCAGCTATGCCTGGGCAGGGCGAAGCCAGAGGAAACTCTGGTGGAGGTCCGTAGCGGTCCTGATGTGCAAATCGGTCGTCCGACCTGGGTATAGGGGCAAAAGACTAATCGAACCATCTAGTAGCTGGTTCCCTCCAAAGTTTCCCTTGAATGAGATATTATTTAATTTGCTATATTTGTAAACATTTCTTTTAAAAGAGGTATAAAGAACTAACAAAATTGCACCACATCATATTTTGAACTAGTTTTAAAAGTGCACCTAACAGTTCCTACAGCACATTATTTTGGGGGTGGAGGATTGGGCCACATCTGGTGGCTCTCAGGGGTCACTCCCAGCCATGCTTAGAACATGCAGTGCTGGGGATCAAACCCAGGTCTTTGGGATGCAGAGAACATGTTCCATAGAAAAATAGAAATGCAGTGACCTTTGATTTGTAAACCATGTCAGACATTTAAGGGTAGCTACAAAAGGAAAAGGATGAATGAGCAGATATCATCAAGTCTGCCAGGGATATTACTGCTGACTCCAAATGTTCATGAACACTCTAGTTACTATTCATATTAATGCAGTTGTGTACAACTATAGTTACAAAATAACTACAAAATAGTATTTTCTAACAGGTTTCTTGTATAAGGGTAAATGCTATTTTTCACACATACACACACAAAGTAGCAAGGTGTTTATGAAGCCTCCCCTCAAATGTCGAGTGGGAGTTTAGTAGTTGCACAAAATACTGATATAAGGTCTTTGTATTTTATTGAAATTTTATATCTTTGCATTCTTTGCACTGAGATATAAAATGAACAAAAATAGCCCCCTTCTCTTTTAATGATCTAATAGTTCTTATTCCTCTCCTTCTAAAGAGCTTCTTTATTCTGTATTTTAAATGATAATCTCCCTAATGAATTAGTGTAAGAATTTTATATGACACGACCATGAATATTTGTATAGCTGCTTATAAAAGTTATCCCCTGAAAAATCAGTACAAGGATTTCATATGATACTACCATTACTTGTGCAGCTGCTTATAAACAGGTTTGCTTTCAAAAAACTTTTCATAGAACAGATACAGAGACATGATTTTGGAGTTCTGTATGATTATCCTTAATTTTCCTTTCTTCCCCCTCCCTCTTAGCTGGGAGAGAGAGGAGATGAAGTTTAAAGCAAAGGCTTCCTGAGCTCACAGATCTTAGGTGGCATTCTCGGCTCTGTATCTGTTATTTTCCATCCGGCTGCCAGTTTATCCTGAGATGGTAATGATTGATAAATATGCAGAGTCGTAAATCTCTCGTCAATGGAAATATGCTCAAACTAAACCATTTGGTGACATTTTCACTCGAAGCACTCAAAACAAGTCAAAGTTATTTGACTGCAAATAAACTCCCAATCGCTCAGTTCCCGTCACAAAGCCTGCCAGCTGAGAAATTTGACTGTCTACAGTCACTAGAAGGAGCATCTTTGGTTCAAATGGGAGGTTGTTCAAAAGAAAGGCAAAGAGGGAAAAAGGTAATTCTGAGTGAGGGTTACTGTTATGATCATTTTCTTTTCTGTTCACGTATGTAGCTCAGGTTAACCAAAGGAAAGCCTGGAGCAGACAAGGAGGCTAGTTCCATGGAACCCAAGCCTGGCACGCATGAGGCCCTGAGTCTCATCCGTCACTGCCTGGCCCAGCACTCCAACTTGGCCCTGGTGGCTTGGCTGTAGGACCAGCACATCGTGGGCTGGATCCCTGTCTATTCCCACAGACACAGCTACATGCAAAATAATAAATGGTTTTCACAGTATTTCTAGTAAAGGTAGAATTAAGTCTATCTCAGAAATAAAATCCCCTTAGGTACAAAACGCAGTACATTCGTGGCACGGGCATGGCTGGATGCTCACTGCACTCTCCCACTCTCCCGACACCCTAGCCATATCATCCCTGCCGGAGACGGGTGCTGAGTTGGAAGCACCCAACATCGGGCTCTCAGCACCCTCCCCAGCACCACACACACACACACACACACACACACACGCGCGCGCGCGCACGCACGTGCGTGTGCACGCTCCTCCTGTTACTGCGAGGTGAGAGGAGTGTGAACCTTTATCATACTGGCACCTGAACAGTGGAACTTGGGTTCTTGATATCTATCTTCCTTCCCTCTCCTCAAAGCTGGCTGCATGTCTGTGTGTAGCTTGACTGTCCAACCACAGTCATCTGGGAGAGTCCCAGTTGCTCTCTGCAGACTCTGTGGCACAGAGTGTTCTTCTTAATGCTGCCAACACACCACAATTTAGCAGCTGAGTTCTCAGAGCCGTGGGTGGCACTGCGGTATGGAGAACAGACTGCTCCTACCCACAAAGGATTGCAAAATAGATGTGGCTAACAGAAACCTGGAGACATTTCCACCCACTTTTATTTTCCAGAGTCAGAGAGTATTTCCTTCTTATCTTTCTGACTGTGGCCACCTCATCTTCCAATGGCAACCGGGTGAATATGCCTCGGCTTTATAAACAGTCCAAGAATACGTTTCATGTGATGCCAACATTCCAACGGCTGTTCTTGTGAACAACGTACAGTGGCACGACTTCAAAGGCAGGTTGAAGAGCTCTGCAGGTCAGCTCTCCGGGCAGCCCTTCCTTAAGTGCCAGATGCTCGAAATGCAGTTGGGTTTCCAGAAGTCTGGGCTTCCATGCTTAACAAGATGGCTGCCTCCCTCTCCCCTGGCCAGAAGCTGCCTTCTTCCCTCTTCAATAGCTTAAGGAGTCTGTTCTGCAAATAATACGCCAGTTTCCAATATGCCTGAATCTCTAATCAATATATACTTCAAATCCCCTCTATCTCTTTAATCCAACGAGTACCCTAGGATTATGAATCTAAGAGCAATATGAGTAATGTTTGGTAGTCTGGAGGGCCAACCTTCAGCACGGTGAGATAATCAGCCAACTCTGTTTAAAGTTCTCACCTCGGAGTTCTTGAGCAACTCAATGATAATGTTACGGGGGGATAATCTGATCAAATGTGATGAACACACAGTGCCACTTTAAGTTGTTTAAAATTTGTATAATTTCTAAGAGATAAACTGTACAGATAAAAACTGCAAATAAAAAGAATGTTGGATAGATATCATAAAAAAGCTGTTGGGTGTCTGTGTGACCAATAGTATATCTATCTAAAATAAAGAATTATAAAGCGATCCCCCCACCTTTCAAACATTAAAATGTTATTGAAAAGCTACGATAGTAAACATCATATAATGACATAATCATTATACTCGTAATTATAATAATGATGGTAAAAATAGTAATAATTATTGTAATAGCAGCAAAATAATATCAATATGTATTACTGAATTTAATGTTTTTACATGTCAGTATTTACATATTTTAGGTTTAATTCTTATAATAATCATTATTTTAAACAATGATAATCAATATTTTAAACAAAGAATTATTAAAATTCTTATAATAATCATTATTTTAAACAATGATTATTTTAAACAATGGAGACTGATACCTAGTAAAATTTTTGATTATTGTCCAAGATTCATAAAGCAACAAGCATAAATTTGGGCTATTTTTGAGTCTTGGGCTCTGAAGGAGGAAACACATTTCTAAAATTTTTTTTTTTAGAAAGATGGAATATTTTGGGGGTGCTAAAGCATGGGGGATGAGTTGAACAAGAAATGGTGCTATATTCTATTTATTTATACAATAAAATGCTATTCCAAGGTTTTACTAATTCACAAGGGGCTGACCCATGATGGGTGAAGCTTTTTGTTGAAAACGTAAGAATGAAAGAGAGAGCTGGACTTTTATTTTCTTGGAACAGCATGCCTATGCTTGTTCTGAACTGTGATCAGACACTAGTCACTGACACCATAAATCTGTGTGGACTTGGAAGAAGGATTAAATTTGATCTCCACAGAGTTTTGGGTGAGGGATTATCACCGTATTTTATTGGATGAAAATCATAAATTGAGTATTGGTTCCTTCTGATGCAGGTGCTTTCCCTGTAAATAAGACAAGGGAAAATATTCACTTACCTTGAATTACGTGAGAGTTGTCTTTCAAGAAGAAGTTATACAGGTATTTGGGGATAAAAGCAGACATACAGGCGTAAGCCAAGGCTAAGAAAGAATGAGACAAAAGCATAGAACAAATGAGTTCGCAGTATACGCAATTACCAGCCACCCGCACACTCTCCAGAGATACAGATTTAAAGAGGAAATAGTTAATAACAGCTGGAGACTGGGCTGGGATTCTCTGCCCTTTAAAGCAGAAAACATTTTGGTCCATAAAAGATAAACATCCAAGGACCTTCACTTTTAATCTGCTGTGCTGTTATTCTGTGATGATAAAATTTTTTTATTTCCTGAACTTTATATATATTGTATTTTTTTTTTTAATTTTTGGGTCACACCCAGCAATGCTCAGGAGTTAGTCCTGGCTCTGCACTCAGGAATTACTCCTGACAATGCTCGGGGGACCATATGAGATGCTGAAAATTAAACCCGGGTTGGCCGTGTGCAAGGCAAACGCCCTACCCACTGTGCTATCGCTCTACCCCTATACATACTCTAGAGCTCTAAACATGATCATTATTAATCCACTATTTAGACATCAAGATCCTTAATCATCAAGATCCTTGGCAACAACAAAGAAATGAATTTTGGGGGGTTAGGGAATTTAGTGTGTTCTTTCAATAGTTTTTTCAAACACAGGGCTCTGCCCTTCCTATTGTTGGGTTGGTACATATGATAGTGGACTAACAAGCACAGCATGAATGGTGCTGTCAGAGACTGCGTGTGATGGGCTCTTCCTGCTGGGAAGACAGCTCTGGCGGGGGGCCCTGGGTTCAATTCCCAGCACCACATGGCCCTTGAGCATGACCAGGTGCAGGGAGGGTGGCCCTGGACACTATGAAGCCTGAGTACTGACCAGTTAGAGCACAGTGACAGGCACTGCCAGGAGAGGCCTGGGTAGCACCCTTGACCCTGCCAGGCATGCTGGGTGGGATTTCTATTTAAATATATATATGTATATATATATATACATATATATATATTTGAAGTAAATAGATTTTATTTAGAACATTTTTAAAGATGGGGTGGGGAGAGAGAAATCATGCTCAGGAGAGAGCCTGGGCTCCTCCAAGGACGGAGGGGGCCCCTACACACATACCAGCATTAGACATGAAAGCATGATAGTACACATCTCAAGAAGGGAGATGCGGGTGACACATGTGCTTGGTGACATGGACGCAAGTAGCACATGGGCTCGGGCGGCATATGCACACTATTTAAAAAAATTTTAACCAAGACTATTTAAACAGCGCAAGTATAGTTCTCTGGGATCATGCTATCGCTACTCAATTCCAGATATCTAAACAAATTTTGACATGAATTAAAACTTTAAAGCATTTCTGGAGATGCTGAAATTCCTAGATATGGAGGCTTCAGATATTTGTGCTACAAATAGGAACACTCTACAGATGATGTGATTAGAGTTTTGGCTCAATTAAGTTAAACAATTATTTACTGAATAATATTCAATAACAGATTATTACAGATGGAAAACAAAACTACCCTTAAAAATGCTACTACTGATTAAAAGAAAAAGATTCCTATGTTGCTATATAAAAGTAAAATACAAAAAATTGAAAAGGTTAGGGTCAAGGTATGGAATTTGCCTTGTGTGTGGCACAGTTCAAGCCTGAGTGCCACCAAGAGTGACCCCTGAGCCAGGAGTAGATTCTGGGCACATCGGGGGTGATCCCCCATCCCAAATAAATCAATACATTTAATGTTGATGGCATAGTAGTGAGCATAGCTGCCTTCCACATAAATCAATACATTTTAAACAAAAAATAAAATATACAATGTTGGAGGTCTCCCTGGCATGGCCCCTTGACAACTAGAGGCCGCTGGGTCTGTAGGGAGTGTCCTGGGTCCTGACTTCCCTGGGAAGGGGGGTGTGGCCAGGGGAACCTGACATTTCTAAGAATAACACAGATTAATTGGCCTTGACTTGCCAGCGGCCAATGGCTTGAGACTGGGAAACAGATGTCTCTGGTGTCACCACACTTCAACCTCGCCTCTGCCCCGAGCCTTGAGGACAGTGCTCCAGTTGCTCCCTCCTAGCATGACAATGCTCGGCCTCCCCTGGCTGCCTGCTCGTTAGTGCGTCTGCATTCTCCCTCAGCCTCCATCTAACCACTCTTTCTCGATAAACTCTGTTGTACGACATCAGTCTGTGCCCGTGTGTTAGCTCTGTCCTAGCTCATTCCGGCATGCGGATCTGAGCCATCAGCCCGAGATTCTGTGATGGTCTCCATGGGTTCAGGTCTCCTAGCTGTACCGAGAGCTACAATACAAGATAAATTTCTAAAAATACAAAATGTTCAATGGCTTCAGGAGGGAGAATTAGTCTTGAGAGAGTGGTTGGAATGATAAGACTTTGGAGACACAAAACCAATACTGCTTTGTGAAATAAATGGAAGTATACATAGTTTAAAACAAAAGTCAAAAAAAGTGAGCATTTCCTCCCAAGACTCATTATGACGTAGCTGATGAGGAAGGCAGGAGGGAAACTCGGGACAGTGGGAAACTAGTGGAGGGAAATGGGCTGGTGAAGGGAGCAGTGTTGGTAAAAATAGTAATAGTTATTGTAATGGCAGCACTCTGTGCCTGAAACTCAATCAGGAATAACTTTGTCACTCTGTCATACAAGTAAAATATAAAATAAAATGTAGCTGATTTAATAAGGATCTAATAAAAGAGGCTCACAAAATCAAAGTAAATGACTACATTTAGAACAATCAAATAGTCCCTAAATTTCTATTTGCTACTGCCTGGTCACAATGACATTCTCTATTAAATAAATTTAGCCTTCACTTCGCCTCAGATTATTCTAACATACTGCATAATAGAAAATTAAACACCTTACAACCATCACCACCACCACCACAAAAACCTTTCATGATTGAGTAAAAATGATTCAGAAAATCACAAGGATTAATTGCATGACAGCAGGCTTACCTTCATTATTGAAATTTAAGTAGAGAAACGGGGCACAGAGGGAGTCCAGGCCTGAGGGGAGAGATTCGGGGGAGTCCATGAGTGCTCTGTCTCTGTCTCTCTAAGCATTCCACAATGCCCCTCCCCCTACCTTGCCTTGAACCCTATCAGCACCTCATGGGTCACCAAGAGGAGTGAACAGCAGGGGAATCAGCCACCATCGCCATCGATGTTATTATGAGAAAAGACAGAAATATGTAGGAGGTATATGAAGGACAGAAGGTCTGGGCACTGTTTGGTATCTGACCCTGCACGTGTGCCCTGAGCATCATTTAACAGTTTCAGCTATGTTTCTCATCTAGATTTGCCATAAATGTTTCTCTGGGATGATTAAAAATTTTGAAGAAGTGTGAAGCCCCAGGTTTGATCTCTAGCACTGTTGGGGTCCCTGGGTACTCTCAGGAGTGACCCCTATGTACTGAGCCAGAATAGTTCTTGAAGTAGCTCTTGAAATACCAATTGGTGTTGTCCCGCCCCCTCCACACACACACACACACACACACACAAAGTTGTGATGCAAAATACAAGTACACCATATATTCTTATTCTTGGCAATAATACTGTTCATACATTGTCATGCTAAAAGATTATACACAAATTAATGTAAAATTGTGATAGAGAAGTCTAATTTGAACCCAGCTAGGAAAAAAATAAGAACTTCATTTTAAGTTTGGCCTGAGATAAAATGTAAAAATTACTGCTCATAACAAATTCAAAAATAGGACTAGGTATAAAATGCTTTCATGAATATTTATCAATTAATGCAAAAATAATAATGAGAAAAACTATTTCTTTTCTCGAGAACAAAGGACATTAAAACTGACATAGATGGAAAATACATAAGATGAGCAGAATCTCTTTAGGCCAATATCCAGCTCTCAGTCATGAGAGGCCTGAGTTGTCTGTCTCCCGACATTAAGCTTCTCCTGAGGCCTGCTGGCTGGCCAAGGTCTCCCTGGCACTGAGAAGTGGGACCAGCATGGCAGCCCCATAGACCAAACGTCACCAGGAGTGACCGCCTGTCCCCACGCACTCCCGGGAGCTCCCAAGTCATAGTGAGCCCGAGTCACAACTGGGACAATGCTGATTCTCTGTGTAATCTCTGAAAAAAAAAGTCTCCACAAGGAATGCCACAGTACAAAACATTCTTCCTGCCTTCCTAAGCAACCTAGGGAAAAGTTGTTCCATCAAACAGCATGCATTCATATGATTTCCTTAAATATTTTTAAAAAAGTTTGGAAAATTTCCTATGAGCTTTTCAAAAAAACCCCCAAACCAATCAGTATTTTTTTCAAAGCCGATATTTTTTTCCCCTCAAAGTCAATGATGTTTTGATATTTTAATTTTTTTTTAAATGTTAGTCATGCAAAAAGTGCTCCTACTACTTCACAAAAGGCCTTAATGGGCTGGGAAAGTGGGGGGGGGGGGTTGGCGCAAATATTACCTTGCCAGTACACCAGGTCGGGGTGGGACACGACCCAGGCTTTTAAGACACGCCGGAACTTGGCATGACCTTCGGGAGACGACAGCAGCTCATCGTACTGATGGCACCGAGGAATGTCCACTTCAATCTGCACAACAGCAGCAGGCTAGTAAGTGAGAAATGTCCGAAGGGGGATCTCCAGGGCACCCACCATCAGAAGGAGGGGCTAGAAGTGTCCGCAGGGAACCTCCAGGGCACCCACCCTCAGGAGAAGGAAAGGAACGAAGGGCTAGAAGGATCTGCAGGAGAACCTCCAGAGCACCCACCATCAGGAGAAGGAGAGAAAGTGCCTGACCTCAGACCGCCTGGTCCTGGTCTCCCAAGTGTCTGAACTTTACATTAATCCTCTTTTTCATACCAAAAAATTGCTGGTATACTTGAGAAAGGAAAACAGGTCATCTCTTTTGAAAAGAGCAACGTAACTTTTAAAAATCCCATCCTTCACATACTGGTCTCACTGAAGGGAAAAACTGTACAGATAATAAGCAGAGTTATTCAGGGAAGCAGCTGGCCTCCACCTGCTCTGTCTCTGAGCTGGGCTCAGGCTACCCCCCATGCACATGGAGGCTGGCTGGGCCTTCATCATCAATCAGGGAGGATGCCTCCCAGCTTTCCTAACTGTACAGAGTTGGCAGAACTGCCTGACCCAGCAGGGATTATGTTATCTTAAATCCAAATCATACTTGTCTGTCTGTAGGTATTGGAGTATCTTTATCAATGGCATCGTACTTGGCATGAATATCCCCCTGCAAAAAAAAAAAAAGAGAGGAAATAATTATGTCCTTGGCCAATCACTAATTATAGCAAAATCTACTTAGAAAGATCTATGTTGCAACGCTCACCAAATTCTGAGAGGCAAGTTCAAACCCAAAGCATGCCTCCTGGACAGTCCCCCGCGTGCCTGACAGCCTGTGATGGGTGCCTGCCCTCAGCAGCTATTCCCCTAAGGCCGACTTGGGAGCGACGCTCCAGGAACCAGAGGGGACACTGAGCCACCCTGACACCACACAGCCGTTCTCAGTCCCTGATACCTCACACAGGGGATTGCATGAAGAAGCTATTTTATTTTTATTTTTTTTCTTTTTTTGCTTTTTGGGTCATACCCGGCAATGCGCAGGGGTTACTCCTGGCTCATGCACTCAGGAACCACTCCGGGCGGTGCTCAGGGGACCATATGGGATGCTGGGAATCGAACCCAGGTCGGCCGCGTGCAAGGCAAATGCCCTACCAACTGTGCTATCGCTCCAGCCCCGAAGAAGCTGTTTTAAACTGGAGGTGGGGAGGAGATGAACCTTACGAGAAACTCCCCTGTTGAGTGAGTAGTAAACTCAGAAATGAAATACAACTGCTTCAAGGTGGTAGTTCAGCATCAAGCAGCACAAGTTTAGAATGAGAGTGGAGGGGGCTGAGAGACAGTCCAGGGGGTAGGGTGCTTGCCTCGCATGAAGACAACCCGGTTCAACCCCAGATGGTCCCCTGACCTTGCCGGGAGTTATTCTTGAGTGCAGAGCCAGGAGTAAGCCCCGAGCACTTGGGTGTGGCCCCCCAAACAAACAAACCAACCAAATAAAGAGTGAAGTATCATGTAGTGATGAAATCTCACTAAGGGAATAAAAGGCTTATTTACATTTTACAGTTATACTTTTACAGAAAGGAAAAAAAAATGAAATAAGCCTCTTCCAAGTTTGATCATGCTCTCCAGGACGAAGCACAGAACAATTATTCTTACCCTACCTTGCTGAAATTATAAACAATGACACAAGAATTTAGGGTTCAAACTTAGATGCTGAAATGCTACATCCATTTATCTGGCACTTATTTCTTCTGTGCTGGAGATGGGCCCCTGGCCTCAGTCATAGGCGAGAACTCCCCACCTAAGACCTCCACAGCTGTGCAGGGACCCCACTAATCCTGTTCCCTGTTCTTCCTCACTCCCACAGAGCATTACAGAGTGGCTACTTCTCTTGCTGTATGGTTTTTAGGACACATGTGCCCAACGAGGCTAAATTATAATGTGTTTTTTCACACAGTTTATAAATTGGAGTGAAATATTTTTCCAAATTTTATTTATTTATTTATTTATTAAAATAAATAAATGTGGTTTGGAGGCCACACCTGGCAGTGCTCAGGGCTGAATTCTGGCTACATTCTTGGTGATGTTCAAGGGACCATATGGGATGTTGGGGATCGAACCCAGGTCTGCCATGAACTGTCCTATTGCTCTGGCCCTAATAGTTCTCAAAATTTAATATACAATCCATCCCATTCTTAACAAACTTTATGAAAAAACACAAAAAACTTAGATCTGGCATATATTTTTACTTAAAATATTCTAATTTAACAATTAAAACTCAGCCTAATACTGTAAGCTTTATTAAATACTAAATGGCCCAAATATAACAGGCCCTGATTATATTTTCCTACCCTAGTTTACTCTGGGCTGGAGCGATAGCACAGTGGGCAGGGCATTTGCCTCGCATGCGGCAGTCCGGGCTGACCTGAGTTCGATTCCTCCGCCCCTCTCAGAGAGCCCGGCAAGCTACCGAGAGTATCTCACCCGCGCGGCAAAGCCTGGCAAGCTCCCCGTGACACATTCGATATGCCAAACACAGTAACAACAAGTCTCACAATGGAGATGTTACTGGTCCCACTCGAAAAAATTGATGAACAATGGGAGAACAGTGACAGTGACAGTTTACTCTGGGCTGGAGCAATAGCATAGCGGGTAGGGCATTTGCCTTGCATGCAGCCAACAAGGCCGAGACGAGTTCAAACACGAGTTTGATTCCTCTGCCCCCTCGGAGAGCCCGGCAAGCTACCGAGAGTATCTCGCCCACACGGCAAAGCCTGGCAAGATACCCGTGACGTATTCGATATGCCAAACACAGTAACAACAAAGTCTCACAATGGAGACGTTACTGGGCCCGCTCGAGAAAATCGATGAACAACGGGAGGACAGTAGACAGTGGACCCTAGTTTACTCATTTTCCCAATGTTTTGACAAAAGTTCCCAAATATTCTCGATGCTCATCATTCTTTATATATTTTACTTCTAGTTTAAAAGATACATATTTGAAAATCACGTTGGTGCTTCTTCCTTCTTTCTTAAAGATCAACTTTCAACCTTCTCTTGCCCCTCTTACCTCAACGCCCAGCAGCGCAGCCCAGGTCAGGCCTCTGAGAAGAGGAGGGACGTCGACTCGTGCTTCTTTCCAGATCTGATTTTTTTTATATGGATAAGCCTGCAGGTGAAGAGGGATACCTCAGATTACCAAGTGCTGCCTTTCAAGCTAGCATTTCTTACTAGGTCCTTTCTAGAGCTGGGGCCTCTCCACAGTACACTCGTAAGTTCCTTGAATTGCTTTATCTGGCATAATTAAGACATATGTTAGTGGTGGCGTATCCCCTGTCCTGTGTAACGTGTATCATACAGTCAGAGAAGCTGATTCTGCAGTTTCCAATCATCCCTCCCCAGGAATTATGAATGAGTCACATGGAGAATAATATTACCAGGCTCATACAGGTTAAATAATGTATGTGAAGCACTTTGTAAATTATCTGGTAGCACAGAAAGTATTGAATAAATATCATTTTTTATTGCAGCTACTCCAATCCTGTAATACGAATGTGTACTTTGGGGCACGAAGGTTGCTGAGGCTCTAGAGGTAAATTTCTAATTCACTTTGCAGAATGTTTTAATCAACTTATATTTTCTACCTTTGTGACTCTGTGGGGTGGGGAATCCTATTTTAATTTAAAAAAAATGTTTTTCTACTAATTTTATCCTAGCATGGATTTAGATATTTTAAATAGGTCATCTTTTATTAATTATACTTCTGTTATGTTCTTTATTTCTTCTTGTCCAGAGGTTTTAAGTGTTTTGCAAATAGCAAGGACTGTAATCTCTCGTTCAATGTGACTTTGCATAGACTCCTTGATTTTACTTTTTATTTATGATGAACTTGTATCATTTTTCACTTTAAAGTTCATCAGAAAAGCTGAATCAGAGGCCCCAGATGTTGCTTGGGTGTGGAGCCCGCCCTGCACAGGAGAGGCCCTGGGTTCAGTCTCAGGCACTGCAAAAAGAAGAAAAGACAGGCCATGGAATCTGTGTCCTCCAGGCTTCAGGTGCCCTACGGTCCTGCAGGGAATGCCCAGGGCGGGTGGCACAGGGGCCTGCAGGGCACACCTTGAGCAACCGGTCGAAGAGGACAATCCTGTTGAGCTGGTACTCCGTGTCCCGCTCTCGGATGATCAAGGGCAGCGTAGCGGCCGCCGACAGCTCGTTGCTGCTGTTGGAATGAGGCAGGTTAGACTGGCTGCAAAAGGGAAACAGAGGCAGAAGAGATTGAAAATAGGGACACTGAAAAAGGAAATGTGTAAGTTGTCTAGCAAACAGATACAAATAAAGAGTACAGGAAAAGGACTCACTCATCTTCAAGCAGTGGATAAAACGCTTCTCCGCCCACATCTTTCAGTCGCTGTGAATTGAAGGGAAATAATTCTGGATGAGGATCAGAGATAGGGACATTTGCCTGCAGTTACTAGGAGCAATCATGTGAAGCAATGAAATTATCAAACAGAATAAATCAGAACCTGAAAATTCATTCTGACCCAGACCGTGCAAAAACCAGCTCGCCTCTCAGGAGCAGGCCTAGCTGTGAAGAAACAGGGCATTTCTGACCATATTCCTCTAAACACATACCAGAATTCCTGAAATTGGCCTAGAATGTAATGAATGGGTCCAATTCTTTTGGTCTGAATGAATCAAACTCTGAATCTTTTTGAAGGTTATTTCAACAGGTACTCTGAAAACACATACTCTTGAAAGCCCAAGTCAGGTTTATTTTCACTTTGATATTTACATAAACTAAGACCGAAGGTGCTAGTAAAAAGATCCAAAAGAATTTCTCACTTTTTTGCTGTGAGTCCAGGCAGACGCCCGCTCCGTGGGGACAGGCACAGACAGTTGAATTCTGCCGAGCCAGCACTGACCTCTAGTGGGTCCAGCTTTAAGTGATTCAGAAGCATCTTTTGCTGACACTGAGAATCTCTCCAACACTGGAGTTATGCCTAGATTTCCTCTGTTATTTGACATACTCGGCACACTTCTAGGGTTTTTTTTACATAATAAAATTCTATATAGATATTAACATTTTCCTAAATTTTATTAACATATTTTTTTGGTTTTCTAAATTTGGAATTTGCTACAAGGCAACTGCTAGAATAGAATTTGGGAAGAAGTGTAAGGGGTAGAAAATGGAATCATAGAAGGTGCAATTAAAACAAAATGTTAAAGGCCAATGAACGCACATTGATAACAAACTGACAATCTTCCCATGGTAGGTACAAGATCTAATATGAAATTATGTGCAAAAGTAATGCGCTATTATTGGCTAAAGTGTAGACAAATTGATCAAAGTTTGTAATGAAAAACTCCCAAAAATATCCATGAAGATATGAAAGAGGTGGTATTAAATATTAAAAACCAAAGCTCGTATTGTTAATTGAGAAAGGGATTCACCTCATGAGGCAATATAATACCAGTTATCTAACCATCTTCTAAAAAAGTGAATTAATGAACTAAATGTGAGGGAAAATCTATAAATATCTTTAGAGAAAATACAGAAAAACATTATAAATCAATTTATAACACTTTAAAACTTTAAATAATTTTACATAAGCAGAATATCAAATTCAGGGAAAATCGTGATAAGATTAATAACAGACACCACTAAAAGTATTTTGTAAAACAGTAAAGACAAAGTTACAGATTAGAAGATATTCACACCACTTATTCATGGCATATTTTATTTCTGAAATATATTATTCAAAGTCTTCAAATCAAAATAGCATCTTACATTCCTTAGTTGGCATAGTGACAGAGTCACCGTCGTATCATCTAAGAGAGAGCTCCGATCCCGGCCTTGCCCAAAGCTTTCTCCATCTTCAAAGAGAAAACTGGAATGAAGTAAATAATAATAATAATAATATTAACAACAGCAACAACAACAATAAATATATATCTTCATAAAATCTGATTTGCTGTGTCTCTCAGAAAATAAAATCTATTCCTACTCACTGATCCCACCACTGAAGAGACTATAAATAGACTGATTAAAGAACAACTGCTGTAAAATTTCTCCAAACAATTCTCATTTAAAAGTTTATATGCAAATGAACTTCATTCCTCAAGATGAAGAAGATGAGGAATACAAGGACGTAGGTTATAGCTGTTCATGCTAAAAATCATCTCCCGACTCTGTGTACATGCACTCTTGAGTGAAAAATAGTAAAGTGAAAAAATAACTTTAATGATGAGTAACTCCTTAGAAAAGTATACTGGGGCAAGAGCTGGGGCCCAGAGTTGGAGCGCATGACTACATGAGGCCCTGGGTTTGTCACCAGCACCCACCAGGCCTGAGCATCGCCCCCCTCCCCTCCAGCGTCACTGGGTGTGGCCCAAACCAAACCAAAACAAAAAACATTAAATAATAAGTGCAAAAAACTGGTTTGACATTTCAAACACCTTTTTCTGAGAATTGAAGTGTCCTTCACATAATTTATTCTTGGAATTTTCATCATCTTATTTCCTGTTTTCCTACTTAATTCAATGTGTGAGTGATGTAACTGAAGTCAGTATTTTATTTGTTTGTTGTTTTGGGACCACACGAATAGTGATCTGATCTTATTCCTGACTTTGTACTCAGGAATTACTCCTGACAGTGCTTGGGGACCATATGGGGATGCTGGGATCAAACCTGGTTGGCAAATGCCCTACCAGCTTATACTATTGCTAAAGCCTCTGAAGTTAGTATTTTAAAGTCATTTTAAAAAGGAAAAAAAAGCTAATAGATTACAATCATAATTAAAAAACTAATGGTAATAACTAATATGGGTAATTAACCTGAACTAATTGTTTTGTTATGAAAAAAATCAACTGATTAGTTCTACTGTCATCTATAATAATCAAACATAATTGTAAACGTATGAAATAACATACCTGGAGCGTTGGTAAATATTGGAAGATTTTTGGGGGCCAGTCTTTAGTAATTAATATGAGCATCCATGGGACAATAATAACATCAATGGCTTTTAGGGACAGCTACTTAGTTAACATCTAATCTAGTTAATAGGGAGATGTCCAAGATTTTATGCAGTCATACAAATCTATCTTAATCATACTTAGAATGTATTGATCTTAGGGATAAGCAATAAGACCACAGAGGATGTTGACATTTACAAATATAACCAAAACTAGAAAGTAGTTCCTCTCAATAGACACACTGGCCAAACTCATCAGCTCTCAAGTATTACTCCTTCTAACTGTACGTGCTTCATTTACTGAATATTGTAAGACGTTTTGTTACAAATTTCAAATGTATCTAAAGGCAAATTACTTATAAAATATTTATTCTGAAATAATAAAAATATCGACGGAAACTCCAGGCAGGAGAACAGGTCTTGACTGCCAGGGGCTGCCCCAGGCCCTTGGTTGGAACATGGCCCAGCAAACATGCTCCCACACTTCACTCCCTGCCCCCCAAAACGTTTTTACTACATTTTATTCCCAAGAATGATTTTCTTTCCTTACTTGGGGAGTGTGCAGATGGGAGGTTTGGATCGAATGATTTCCTTGTTGACAAGTTCTTTCTCCAAGTCACCTCCAGCCAAACACCAAAGGTAATACACTTCTGCAATGGATCTTTCTGCCAGGTAGTCACTGCTCATATCTATAATAGGAAATGGAAAGGCATCAGGGCAGGTACTCTGCTCTTCGCTAGAAGTGAGCAGGCAATCGCTGTCAGAAAAGTAAGAACTGAAGAAGACACTAAAGCTCCCTCCGGGACGTTCACAGAGCGGGGAAAGCGTATCCACACAGTGGATGCAGAGTGCCTCAGGAAACACGCCCATCTCTAAGTGTCTCATACATCTCACCTTTGTGGCTCTATCCTACAAGCACGAGTTAGGAATACAAAACTCTGGGAAAGGACTAAGGACAAGGGAAGGCGTGTGGGTTGGCAGCTTGCACTACAGGTGCATCTCCAGGCCTGGAGGTCTGGAATGTCTGTCCCAGGGCATGCTGTGAGTCAGGCCTGCTGTGGACACCATCACATCCACCTGGTAACCGTGTGGAGTGAGTGTGTGAATCCATTTGTCTGTCCGCCTCTAGACAGGACAGGTATGTCACTGATGATACAGTGTGTAGAACAAAGCAGCAACTTGACACCTAACAAGTGCGGAACTGTTTAGCGGATGTCAAGGGTCACTTGAGGCAGCTTTCCAGTGTTAGCGTCACTTAACTTGTGTCACAAGAAAAGCCAGTCTCTGAGACATGCAGAATGGATAATGGTGCAGATTCCATATAAAATAACAGGGGCTTTAGAAATCATTTATAATAAGTGCTACGGATTTGATATACAAATGCTGATATGATAAACAAATTCCCTGGGAATTAGAAGACCTGAGTTTAAGACCTTAATGAAAATTCAAGTTTAAGATCTGAGATCAATGAATACAGGACTTTGGCTTGAATGAAAAAGAAATGGTTATGTACTCTTGACTCTTAACATTCTTACTCCTAAGAAACTGAAATTTAAAGAATCAAAATGTGAAGTTTGGAGACCAAAGCGATAACACAGCGGGTAGGGTGTTTGCCTTGCATGGGGCTGACCCAGGTTCGATTCTCAGCATCCCATATGGTCCTCCGAGGACTGCCAGGACTAATTCCTGAGTGCAGAGCCAGGAGTAAATGCTGAGCATCGCCGGGTGTGACCCAAAAAGCAAAAAAAATGTGAAGTTTGTTATATCTGAAACTGTCCAAGATTATCTCTTAATTTCCAGAGTATCACTGTTATTATATCTTAATAAAACAATTTATCAAGCAATAATTAAATCATTAACTCTTAATTTTCAAAAGTGTAATTAATATTTCTCTATGTAGACTATTGGTAAGTTCACAATCAGCAGAATTAGGACACAGCAGGTAGGGCGTTTGCCTTGCATGCAGTCAACCTGGATTCGATTCCTCTGCCTCTCTCAGAGAGCCCGGCATGCTACCAAGAGTATGCCGCCCGCACGGCAAAACCTGGCAAGCTCCCCGTGACGTATTCAATATGCCAAAAACAGTAACAACAAGTCTCACAATTTGTTGTGAGACATTACTGGTGCCCGCCCGAGCAAATCGACGAACAACAGGAGGACAGTGCTACAGTGCTTGTACAGTGCAGAACAAGGCGTATGCAACACACATGCATATGTGACCCATGTCACCTTCACAGAGCTGACTGATATCCTCGGGCAGAGTTAAATCAGCACATCTGAGAGAAGAAGAAAACAGACCAGCCGGCTTGGTGAAGGGGGTGTACAGAGACGATATCTCATTGAACACCTTGTCCTGCATTAATTCATCTGGAGTTGGCCTAGAAAGATAGGATTAAGATACAGAGCATCAATAAAAGCCATAAAAATTTCCTTGTAAAGTGACTCACATTCAAGGGGATTGATAAAGGCTTTAAATCACTCCACATGAAAAATAATCAAGTTCCCTTTGGCAGAGTCTAGGTGCTAATCTGAATATGACAATCAAGTCACTATAAGTAGCTGCTGAATGCTTTTTACCTTTCTTGTGCTTTTTTGCACCTTGTAATCAATCAAGAATTATGACTGTCACTTTTTTTACTCTTAATTTTATTATCATGTGCCTCCTTTAGTATCTTAATAAATTATAATTTAATAATGCCTCTGGGTTTTCTTGCTAATTTCTGTTTAAAGTGGCATATTCAATCAAAACTGCTTTAAATACTACTACTCTTCTACTCCTAACAAGTCTGAAGCACATATGTTTTTTCAAAGACAAACTCAAATGGTTTTCAAGTACTATATACTTTGGGAGTTTAGGATATTGCATGGCTCACAGTAACATCCACAAATAAAATGAAATAATACAGTGTCTAAGATATGCTTCGGTACTATCAGAAATTGTTAGCGTAGCCCACCATTTATTCAATTTTGTTGCTACAATACATGTTCCAATAAAATTCTGTTCTCACTAAAATTATATCATTTGTGTGTTGGAATATCTACATTCTATCATTTTGCTTAATGTCCAATTAGAGGCTAGAAAATGAATTAGTAAATTCTCCTAGTATATACCAACTTTTGACAGGGCTTAATCTTTCCTTCTCTGATTAATGTATATGAAAGTCATAACTGGCAGTTATGAGACATTATTACTAAATAAGGAAATATTCTTATTTAATCTACTGTTATTTAGGCTAATAATAATAATAATAATCATAATAATAAACAACTCAACTACTTCTATATTAAAGATCTTAGTAAAATCCCAAACTCAGAATACCAACCTCTTGGAAGGGTGGAAGGTGAGGCACTTCTTCAAAAGACTGATCATATTTTCGGGAAGTTCCTGGTAAATAAAGAAAAAAACTTTTTTAAAGGATCCAGTTGAGGGCTTGGGTCCAATTCGAGGCAGACACACCTGCCTCAGCACGACAGATGCCACATGCTTCCTGTCTGGGCACCATCTTGGCGTCTCTCTAGGCTAGAGCTGTGAGACCAGCCCCCACAGTCCATGGACAAGAGCACCATGGTCCAACCCCAGTGAACAAACGTGCCAGCGAGCCCTGCCGCCAGGGGACCAGAGGTGTGGCCCTGGCAAGCACCCCAACCAAGTGTGCATGACCCATAACAAAGGAAGGGGGGAACTTTCACTTGCAGAAGACCTTTCTTTGCCCAGATGTGAGCTCTCCCGGGGTAGTCTACCTTGGTCTATGCTGGAGTCAGGGGTTACCTCAGTTGGGGAGTGCTCAGGACGTGCAGGTCTCCGAGGGAGACTAACCGGGGCGGTTCCATGGAAGGGCCAGGGATTAAGGGGGTGCTGTGGGTAGCACCTGCCCGGATAGGACATGCCCAGTCAACCTGGGGAGCTCAGAGTCACCCAGGACCACATGTAGCACTGCTCAGGGAATCAGCTGGTGCCAGGGACAGAACTATGTCCTGTCAGCTGCACGCCATACAGACGTCCTAAGCCCTCTGACTGACATTTTGACTTGTTTTTAAAGTTTTATCTGGGGGCCAGGGAGACGGCATCAGTGGTTGAGTCTGTGCCTAGCCTGCATAAGCCCCAGCACCATACAGTCCCCTGAGCCTCAAACCAACAGCACTGCCAGGCTGAGCACTGCTGCCTCCCAAGCTTGCCGGGGGTGGCCCCAATGGAAAAAAGTCATAATTTTAAACTTCCATATCTAAACAGAAATAAGTCCAGCTTTAAAATAGCATGCAATTCGGTCCCAAGAATGAAAATTAAACACATTTTCAATAACAGATTAAAAATAACAAACCTTTATAGTATCCAGACAACCATGCTCTTCAGCCAGGACTATCACGGTATCATCTACGCAATCTGAAAAACAGAAAACATTGTATGAATGGTACTTCTAAAAATTGAGGCTGAACTCAAAATTTAAAAAAAGTTATAGATTACATAAACTGAACTCAGAATTTTAAAAAATTATATCATGTAGTTTTGGAATATGAATTATAACTACTTGTTAATTTTCCTTAAATGTTTGGGTAAACTCAAAGACTCCAAAGATGAAAATTAATGAGTCAGTTTTTTTTGTTTGGGGGCCACACCCAGCAGTACTCCTGGCTCTGCACCCAGGAATCACTCCTGGTGGTGCTTGAGAACCATTCTTCAAATTCTGTATATATAATAAAAATAAATTAGTATTATAACTATCTATGTGAAAAGTGAGAGCAAATTTTTACCTCCTGAATCTCTGCTTTATCTCATTACTTAAACTGATGCTCTTTAGAATCTTTGATTCAGGGGTCAGCGAGGTGGTACAATGGGTAGAGCACTTGCCTGGCCTGTGGCAGACCCAGGTTTGATCCCCAGCATGACATTCTCTCTCTATGTAATTATAAGAAAAGTTTATTTTGTTTATATAGAATTTAGAGAATACATATACATTTCTCTGGAAATTTGGAGTATATGTTGAGTCTATAGACATTTAGAAATCTATTTAGAAATCTCTTGACTCCTTAATAGTACATTGTCAATCTATGAAATTAATGTGGCAAAATGATGTTTATGGAATTTATTTTTAATGATTAATATTTGTGATTATTTAGCCCATATCCTTATTTGCAAACCCTATTAACCTGGAGCACCGCACCATATTTGATGGGGTTCAAATATGGCTTGAACCATGGGAACACCCACAAGGGTGATGAGAGGCCACCCTAAAAGCCTCAATCCCTCTCAGAGAGCCTGGCAAGCTATTCGAGAGTATCCTGCCCGCAGGGCAGAGCCTGGCAAGCTATCAGTGGTGTATTTGATATGCCAAAACCAGTAAATACAATGGGTCTCACTTCCCTAACCCTGAAAGAGCCAATATAGCAGCGTTAAGAAGGATGAGGAAGGAGAGGCTGATAAAATCTCAAGGCAGAACTAGACTGCCAAAATGAAGAAGGACAAAAGTGACTGTCTGTACTTTCAATGCACGTATGCTGGCATCGGACGCGTCCATCGAGGACCTGATGGTGCAAGTTGAAAGAAAAGTATGACATCATTGGTCTGACCGAGACAAGAAGGCATCAATCACATCACGCTGTTTTCGACACTGGAAAAGAACTGTTCCTTGAAACATGTGACAAAAGAGGCGTCAGTGGTGTCAGTGCCCTTGTCAACACGAACTTGGCCATGAGCATTGATTCATTTGAATGCCTAACGACCCGAATTGGACGATTACACTTGAATAGATGTGGCTCACTGCTGGCAGTTTCTATGTTTGTTGTCTACGCACCAACATCCAATTATGATGAAAAAGAAATTGAGAAGTTCTACATGAAGCTGGAGAAGTTCTATAAAGAAGACACCTTTTACAAGATCATTGTCAGTGATTTTAATGCCAAGATAGGACCGAGAAGATCAGTCAAAGAACTCCACATCGGGACCCATGGCCTAGAATGGAACAAACAGGGTGAGAGACTATCTCAGTTCATCATGTCGATCAAGACCATCCATGGTAACTCAAGAGTTTCAGAAAGCCGAATCTAAATGTTGGACATGGGAGTCTCCCGGTGGACAGTTCCACAATGAAACTGACCACATCATATTCAATCAATGGTTTTGTCTCACTGATGTCACTGTTGTCCCAAAATCCCAAATGGGATCGGACTACCGTCTCCTTCGTGCAAAATTCTAATTCAAGGAGCGGGGAAAAAGGGCTGCAAAGTTTAAGAAGAGAACTCCCAGAACGACCACCAACTGGGAGCTCTTTGGCACTATTGCAGCAACATGGGAAGATGTCGTTGTTGACAACATTGACGAAGAATATGATAGACTGGTTCAGCACTTTCATAATTGTGCGAGAAACACTGAAAGAGAGATAGCCACAAAAAGACGCCTGTCTTTGAAAACTCTTGAGCTCATTCGCCAACGTGGCTTGGCACAAGCCTCAGGCAACGCAAGTGAACGTATGAGCTTGCAAAGCAATGCAGAGAAGCGATCAAGGAAGACCTCAAGGAGAGAAGAGCAGCACTGCTGGCATATGCAGCAGAAACTGGGTAAAGCATCCTCAACGCCCGCCTGTCCATCACCAACTACAAGACCAAGATGACTGCCCTCTGACGTCCTGATGGATCTATCACATCTTCCAGAAGGGCAATGGAGATTATCCATGACTTCTACTCAGATCTCTTCAATATCCACGTCCACCTGACAAATTCCGCAGGATGGATATGTTGTTCCTAACGTTCTCCCTTCAGAAATCCGATACGCCATTTCTTTAGTAAAGAAGCGAACAGCACCCGGCCCAGACAAGGTCAGACCCAAACACCTGAAGAACCTGCCATCAGTTCTCATTAATACACTGGCTCGGCTCTTCACATGCTACCTGTCTGAACCTTGCAACCATCCCAATGGAAAACCAGCAGGACTGTACTACTGTACAAAAAGGGAGACATCTGCGACATTGGCAACTATTGCCCAATCTGCCTGTTGTCTTTTGTCTACAAGCTATTCACTTGAGTCATCCTGACTAGGATTAGCAGAACACTGGATGAAGGACAACTATGCGAGCAAGCTGGGTTCTGAAAAGGATTCAGCATGATCGACTATATCCACATGATAACCAAGCTCATTGAGGTTTCTCGGGAGTTCAAGATGCCGCTTTGTCTAACGTTCATTGATTTAAAGAAGGCCTTTGATTCTGTTGAGACTGAAGCGGTCATCGAAGCCCTAGCCAAGCAGGGCGTTCAAACTCAATACATCAGGATCCTCCGTGAGTGGTATTATGGATTCACTACCAGGATCTCACCATTCTACAAGGAAGTGATCATCCATGTCAAGAGAGGGGTTTGGCAGGGTGATACCATTTCACTGAAACTCTTCAGTGTCACCCTCGAGAACATCATGCGATGACTAGAATAGGAAGGAATGGGAGTGAAGATAAAAGGTCAGCAACTACACCACCTCTGCTTTGCTGATGACATCGTTCTAATAACACCAAACATCAGCCAAGTGGCACAAATGCTGACTGACTTCGACCATGAGTGTGGAAAGGTTGGATTACAGCTGAATCTCACAAAGACAATGTTCATGAGAAACAGTCTTGTTCCTGATGTGTACCTAGGTCGAGAAGTCAACATGACAAATGACCTGGCACCTGAGTTGCGCAGGAGGAAGAGAGTGGCTTGGAACGCCTTTAAGAGCATCAAAGAAATGGCTAAGAGGATGAAGAACCTCCAGGTCCGGGCACATCTTTTCGATTCCATTGTTCTTCCTGCATTAGCATACACTTCAGAGACCTGGGTCCTATGAAAACAGAATGAGAATGCTATTTGGGTCTCCCAAAGAGGAACTGAAAGAGTTATACTTGAAGTATCACGCTTCACTCAAATGAGAGAAAGAATCCGAAGTTCCGACCTCCGTTGACAATCAAGAATCAGGGATGCTATCTCATTTGCCAAGTCATTGAAAATCAGATGGGCTGGACACGTAATGTGATTTGGAGACGACCACTGGACTAGGGTCATTACCGGCTGGATTCCACGGGACGTCAAAAGATCGCACGGCCACCCACCTACGAGATGGTCAGACTTCTTCGTCAAGTTTGAGGCTTTTTGTGTTCCTAGAGCAAGCAAACACCCTTGGGCTACACTAGCATGTGACAGGGATGAATGGAGATGTTACAGGTGCCCACTTGAGCAAATTGACGAGTAACGGATGTCAAGTGATCAAGTGATTTTTTTAAATTTTTTTTTTTTAATTTTTATTAGTGAAACACCATGAGGTACAGTGGTAGACTTACAAATTTTTGTGCTTAGGTTTCAATTATACAATGTTTGATCACCCATCACTCCATCAGTGCCCGTTTTCCACCGCCACTGATCCTAGTATCCCTCCCACCCCACTTCCTCCCCATCCCACCCTGCCTTTGTGGCAGGGTATTCCCTTTTGTTCTCTCTCTCCTTTTGGGTGCCGTGGTTTGCAAAAGAGGCATTGAGTGGCAATCATGTCGGTCTATAGTCTACTTTTAGCATGCATCGCCTGGGAGGGTCCTCCCAACACCCTTTATTTGGTGTTCCCTTCTCTATCTGAGCTGCCTTTTACCCTAGCATGTGCGGCTGCCCTCTAAGCCGTGGAGTGAACCTCCTGGTACTTATCTCGGCTATTCTTGGGTGTTAGTCTCCTATTTTGTTACTTTATGTTCCTCAGATGAATGCAATATTTCTATGTCTGTCCCTCTCTTTCTGACTCATTTCACTTAGCATGATACTTTCCATGTAGTACCACTTGTATGTAAATATCATGACTTCATTTTTTCTAACAGCTACATAGTACTCCATTGTGTAGATGTACCAAAGTTTCTTTAACCGGTCATCTGTTCTCGGGCACTCAGGTTTTTTCCAGATTCTGGCTATTGTAAAGAGTGCTGCAATGAACAAACAAGTGCAGATGTCACTTCGACTATACTTTTTTGCCTCTCTGAGATATATTCCCAGGAGTGGTATTGCTGGGTCAAATGGGAGCTCAATTTCTAATTTTTTGAGAATCATCCATACTGTTTTCCAAAAGGGCTGAACCCGTCGGCATTCCCACCCGCAGTGAAGGAGGGTCCCTTTCTCACCACATCGGTGCCAGCACCAGTTGCTTTTGTTCTTTTGGATGTGGGCCAGTCTCTGTGGTGTGAGGTGATGTCTCATTGTTGTTTTGATCTGCATCTCCCTGATGATTAATGATTGTAGAGCATTTTCTCATGTGCCTTTTTGCCATTCGAATTTCTTCTTTGAGAGAGTTTCTGTTCATTTCATCGCCCCATTTTTGGATGGGGTTGGATGTTTACTTCTTGTGGAGTTCAACCAGTACTTTGTATATCCTTGATATCAACACCTTGTCGGATGTGTATTGGGCTAATATCCCTTCCCATTCTGTAGACTGTCTTTGTATTTTGGTCACTGTTTTTTTGGAGGTGCAGAAGCTTCTTAGTTTAAGATAGTCCCATTTGTCTATCTTTGTTTTCACTTGGTTGGCCAGTGGCGTGACATCTTTGAAGATACCATTAGCTTCAATGTCATGGAGGGTTTTGCCAACTTTGTCTTCAATGTACCTTATGGATTCCAGTCTGATGTTGAGGTCTTTAATCCATTTTGATCTTACTTTTATACATGGTGTTAGGCAGAGATCTGAGCCCATTTTTTGCATGTAGCCATCCAATTTTGCCAGCACAATTTGTTAAAGAGGCTTTCTTTGCTCCACTTCACATTTCTTGCTCCCTTGTCAAAGATTAGATGAAGTGATCAAGTGATTAACCTGGATATTAATCTGCAATTCTTTTATACTAAGAATTCTAATACCATTTTCCTCTTTGATTTTTAAACCCATGCTTTATTCCACTTCAAAGAAGATGAGACCATTTTTTTTTTTTTATTAGTGAAACACCATGAGGTACAGTTGTAGATTTACAACTTTTTGTGCTTGGGTTTCGATTATACAATGATCAGATACCCATCCCTCCACCAGTGCCCATTTTCCACCACCATGGATAATATCCCCCCCACCCCCATCCCCCATCCCCCCCGCCTCTGTGGCAGGGCAATCCCTTGTGTTCTCTCTCTCCTTTTGGGTGTTGTGGTCTGAAAAAGAGGCATTGAGTGGCAAACATGTTCAGTCCATAGTCTACTTTTGACATGCATCTCCCCTCCTGGGAGGATCCTCCAAACACCCTTTATTTGTGCTCCCTTCTCTATCTGAGCTGCCCTTTCCCCTAGAATGCCCGGCTGGCCTCTAAGCTATGGAGTAATCCTCCTGGTGCTGATCTCAGCTATTCTTGGGTATTAATCTCATATTTTGTTACTTTGTATCCCCCAGATGAATGCGATCTTTCTATTTCTATCCCTCTCTTTCTGACTCATTTCGCTTAGCATGATACTTCCCATGTTGTACCACTTGTATGTAAATTTCATGACTTCATCTTTTCTAAGAGCTACATAGTACTCCATTGTGTAGATGTACCAAAGTTTCTTTAACCAGTCATCTGTTCTTGGGCACTCAGGTTTCTTCCAGTTTCTGGCTATTGTAAAGAGTGCTGCAATGAACAAACAAGTGCAGATGTCACTTCAACTATACATTTTTGCCTCTCTGGGATATATTCCCAGGAGTGGTATTGCTGGGTCAAATGGGAGCTCAATTTCTAATTTTTTGAGAATCGTCCATACTGTTTTCCAGAAGGGCTGAACCAGTCGACATTCCCACCAACAGTGGAGTGTTCCTTTCTTGCCACATCCGCGCCAGCATCGTTTGCTTTTGTTCTTTTGAATGTGGGCCAGTCTCTGAGGTGTGAGATGGTATCTCATTGTGGTTTTGATCTGCATCTCCCTGATGATTAATGATGTAGAGCATTTTCTCATGTGCTTTTTTGCCATTCGGATTTCTTCTTTGAGAAAGTTTCTGTTCATTTCATTGCCCCATTTTTGGATGGGGTTGGATGTTTTCTTCTTGTGGAGTTTAACCAGTATTTTGTATATCCTGGATATCAACCCCTTGTCAGATGTGTATTTGGCAAATATCCTTTCCCATTCTGTAGACTGTCTTTGTATTTTGGTCACTGTTTCTCTTGAGGTGCAGAAGCTTCTTAGTTTAAGATAGTCCCATTTATCTATCTCTGTTTTCACTTGCTTGGCCGGTGGCGTGGCATCTTTGAAGATACCATTAGCTTCAATGCCATGGAGGGTTTTGCCAACTTTGTCTTCAATGTACCTTATGGTTTCTGGTCTGATGTTGAGGTCTTTAATCCATTTTGATCTTACTTTTGTACATGGTGTTAGGCAGAGTTCTGAGCCCATTTTTTTGCATATAGCCATCCAGTGATGCCAGCACAATTTGTTAAAGAGGCTTTCCTTACTCCACTTCACATTTCTTGCACCTTTATCAAAGATTAGATGATCATATGATTGAGGGGAGATGTCAGTGTATTCAACCCTGTTCCATTGGTCTGCAGTTCTGCCTTTGTTCCAGTACCGTGCTGTTTTAATTATTACTGCTTTGTAGTACAGTTTGAAGTTTGGGAGGTTGATTCCTCCCATTTTCTTTTTCCCAAGAATTGCTTTAGCTATTCGTAGGGGCTTATTGTTCCATATAAATTTCAGGAGTGTTTGCTCCATTTCTTTGAAGAATGTCATGGGTATCCTTATAGGGATTGCATTGAATTTATACAATGCTTTTGGTAGTATTGCCATTTTGACAATGTTAAGTCTCCCGACCCATGAGCAGGGATTATCTTTCCATTTCCTCATGTCCTCTTTTATTTCCTGAAGTAGCGTTTTGTAGGTTTCTTTGTACAGGTCCTTTACTTCCTTAGTTAAGCTGATTCCTAGGTACTTGATTTTCTGGGGCACAACTGTGAACGGGATTGTTTTTTTATGTCGCTTTCTTCTCTCTCACTGTTTGCGTATAGGAAAGCCATGGACTTTTGGGTATTGATTTTATAGCCTGCAACTTTACTATAGGAGTCTATTGTTTCTAGGAGTTTTTTGGTGGAGGTTATTGGGTTCTCTAAGTATAGTATCATATCATCTGCGAATAGTGAGAGATTGATTTCTTCCTTTCCTACCTGAATGCCCTTAATATCTTTTTCTTTCCTAATCGCTATTGCAAGTACTATATTGAACAGCAGTGGAGATAGTGGGCATCCTTGGATGAGACCATTTTTTAAGAACATATTTGAATTACAAGTATTTAGATGCATTATACATGTGAAATAAAGATACATGAGCTTGCTGCAAGGAAAAGGCAACATGCATCTTATGCATCTTCAGTCATTATTTACACAAGATCCATCAAATAGAAAACTTGAACGTCCTGTTGGATCTGCTGTCTAGTGACCTGCTATGGAGAAACAGATTCCCATTCTCGGGACTAGACTCATGGGTTTGTCTGCTTGGTTAAGACCAGGAAGTTAATATTCCATCCATCCACGCTGTCATTCCTTAGTGAATAAGAGTAGCTTGACTGTGATTTTTCAGGAGCTATGTCTAAGCTGTCCTAATAACCTTGACACTTGATCATTTAAAAAATGGAAGAGGCCATTTCGGAATATTTGCAGTTGCAGGAGAATACTGCCTCCATGTGGCTGATTACTGTCAATCACTAATACTGACCCTTAAACCAGGAAGATAAATTGAGTGACACTTACCCAATGTAAGCAAAAATTTTAGTCTTTCAGAAATATCCAAACTTTGAAATAATTTTCTCCCCTATAAAGGAAACAGGAATAGAAAATATTAATATTTTTATCCATATTTTTTCTGGTTTGGGGGTCACACCTGGCAGTGCTCAGGGCTTATTCCTGGCTCTGTGCTCAGGGATCACTCCTGGCAGAATTTGGGGAACCATATGTGGTGCCAGGGATCAAACCCAGGTTGGCAGCATGAAATCCACAGTACTATACTTGGGTTGAAGTAATTTCTAACTTTTCTTTATAATATATGTCACATATTGTCAAAAAAAAAGAGTTTTTAAGAATCTGAGAATTTAGTTATCAATAAGATAACTAAAAAGAAATCTTGAGACTCCTATCGAAGACAGAATAATACTGATGATTAACAAAATTTATGCCTCCAAAGATCTCTTATCAGGTACAGCAGATCTCTGTGACAGTGGCAGAGGAGAGTAAGAGCGCAACCAGCTGGCAGGGAGCAGGGATCCATAGCTCAATGACGTTCTTCACCCCTACTGTCTCCTTCTCCATCTGTGTGTGTCCAGCTAACGCTGCAACTCCTGGTCTCCCTGTATGTGTGACTGGCCATGGTGGACAGTCATGAGTGAAAAATGCAGAGCTGACCGCTGGAATGCAAATGGATCATCCATTTCCTTAAAGACAGCTCCCGTGAACTTGCCCCTCTCTTCCAGATGACTGGAAAAAGTGAAAACCTGCTCTTTATGCTCTGCATTTCCCATTCCTTTGCAGTAGCAGCTTAGTCTTTACCTGAACTCTAGAGCTATCTGGGGAAGGCTTCCGAAAAAGCTAACACACAAAGAGTGTTTTAAAGAGACCTTAGAAGCCAGGAAAAGAGGAGACATTTAAGGAAGAAAAAAATGTTGTGCATGCAGAGAGGGCACAGACCCACCAAAGAATGTAGGCAGCCTGTGTGTCAATATTCCTGAAAATATTTAACTTCTTATACTTAATATGCACTGTAGCACTGCAGTACTGTCCTCCCGTTGTTCACTGATTTGCTTCAGAGGGCACCAGTAATGTCTCCATTGTGAGACCTGTTACTGTTTTTGGCATGTTGAATATGACACAGAGAGCTTGCCAGGCTCTCCCATGTGGGTGGGATACTCTCGGTAGCTTGCTGGGCTCTCCAAGAGGGATGGAGGAATCGAACTGGGGTCAGCAGCATGCAAGGCAAACATCCTACCCGCTGTGCTATCGCTCCAGCCCACACTTAATATAGTAAAAAAAAAAAATTAATTAAAGTACAATTCACATATTGTCAAAAAATTTTTTTAAGAATCTGAGAATTTTCTTCTCACAGCTAGTCAGTTTGGAAAGTGAAAGCATTATTACTAAATTCCTCACTTACCCAATTATTCCAATAAATACACAATTTCTTCTTGCTAGCTTAAAATTCTTTATACGTACCACACACAGCTCAAATAAAATGATTCCAAGAGACCACACATCTGATTTGGGACCGGAAGGCAGTGGTTTTTCATTTGACCCATGCTCGGTGGTTTTGAGAATTCCTTGCGCGATTACTTCAGGTGCTAAGTATGATGGATACCTGGAATGGCACAGTTAGAAACGAACATCAGGAAATGACCCGTGCAAATGCCTCAGCAAGGAAGAAAGAACCTGAGTTAGGAAAGATCCTAACGAACCATCCTGCCGTGTCTTTATGTCTAGGGATCGAGAGCAGGTGGGGACCCACTCAGGTACGCGGCTGCAGTGTCCTCGCCTGCATCCGCTTTCCTCCTGTCTTCTCCAGGCTCCCAGGCAGCCTCTCTCCACCCCGCCCAGTCTCCAGGGCTCCCATATTACTATCTTCTTTATACTCAAGGGTTGTTTACTTTTTATCTTAGATATGAGTATTTATTCCTTAGGATTGTAAAAAAGTCAATGCTATGAATTGAAAAGTTACGGCTTTCAGATGTCTACACTTCAGCCTTGATTCTCTATTCCTGCATCTGTAAACCTGAGCCCCCGTCCTCACAGTCTGCTTATGAAGCCCCACGCACAGGGGCGATATGAGACTGCACCCCTCTTCACTTAAAGAATATCTTAGAGATCATTCTACCCAAAAAAGCAATACCTACTATTTGCTTAAATTTTGGGAAAGTGCCAATTCTTTGATTCTATTGATTAACTTAATTTACTTGATCAAACCATGATAGACATTTTGGATGGTAAAATCATTTGCTAAAAACAGCCCTGAAATGGTTATAAGTATCTCGTTTGCCACAAATACAAGTACAGAGACAGATAAATCTCTAGACATGGCATTATAGTCATAGGGATAAACATCTTTGTGTGTGTGTGTGTGTGTGTGTGTGTGTGTGTGTACATGTATGTGGCACTGGGGATAAAACCCAGGGTCTCCACATGTACCCTGCCACTGACCTATATCTCCTGCCCACTTTTAAAACTTCTATATATTCATAACCAGCAATAGAAAAACAAATTGTCTACTTTGCCTTTTCAGCAGATCTGAGTGTTCGGGTAAAATCCCAAATAATAATGATGGGTCTGGTGTCAAAATATTGAAAGTAATCAAAGTAGAGAGAGAGTAACGTGGAAATCATCTGCCCCACAGGTAGGGGGAGGGTGTGGGATGGGGGTTTACTGGGGTTTTTGGTGGTGGAGAATGGGCACTGGTGAAGGTACGGGTGTTGTATAACTGAGACTTAAACCCAAAATCTTTGTAACTGCTTTCATGGTGATTCAATAAATAAAATTATATAGAGCGATAGCACAGCGGTAGGGCATTTGCCTTGCACGCAGCCAACATGGCCGACGCGAGTTCGATTCCTCCGCCCCTCTCGGAGAGCCCGGCAAGCTACCGAGAGTATCTCGCCCGCAGGGCAGAGCCTGGCAAGCTGCCCGTGACGTATTCGATATGCCAAACACAGTAACAACAAAGTCTCCAATGGAGACGTTACTGGGCCTGCTCGAGCAAATCGATGATCAATGGGAGGGCCTTTACTTACTTTACTTATAAAAAATAAAAAATTGTATATATATACATATATATAATATAGCAAGGGAAACATGGATATATCCATATACATATGCATATGTATTTGTAGTTTCCCTTTCAGGTCTTACAATTTTTATTCTCACAGCAACATATGAGAATATATATTTCTCCTTATCTTCATCTATATTAAGTTTATTTAATTTTTCCAGTAAAGACAGGTTATTTAATATGAATGCATGGAGAATAAATCTTCACGTAATATCAATGTACCTACTGAGGACTTTAAATGAACATCAAATTAGTAGTTTCTCCTTAATTTTATTTCCTTGGTATCTCCCCTCCCCAAATAGTAACTACAAATGCTGAATGTATAGTCCTTTCTATTTCTTAATAGTCTTGTAGAATACTTGCATCCTTAAGGGCGAACACTGTGCAGGGGTCATTGCTGTGGCCCAGGAGAGGGCATTAGGACATATGATAGTACGTGTGAAGTCCTGCGTTTGTTCTCTGGCAACACACACACACACACACACACACAATATTGGTTAATCAAGCATATTCTGAATTTTGTATTATTAGGGGAAAAATGTATGCTGACAACATATTTTTGTAATTTTCATTCCCAAATCAACTTTAATAACTTGGAAGACATCCATATTGATAAAATGTAGCTGTAAGTCATTAGTTTTACTTTTATTTTATCAACATAATGTATTTGTTCTAATGCCAATGGGCGTTTAAGTTGTTTTCTTATAAAATATTGTAAGAATGATTGTTAGAATATTGTGTATGGCTTATATCCACAAAAGCTTCCCTAAGATCATAAACCTAGACTCAGTTCTATGTCCAGGTTATCTGAAATGTCATGAGAGATGTTTTCCAAGGGGGCTGTGCCATGGAGCCGCGGCTAATGCTAACTTCTCCACACTAGTCAGAAATAGCTTCTCCAATATTTGACATTCTGGGAGGTGAGATCTAGATGCCATCACGGCTTTACTTAGCATCTCCCTAATAATCAGAGCCTGAGGTGTATTTTCTTTTATGTTTGCTTCTATTGGACATTCCCATCTAAGCCTTGCCCCTTTCTGTGACAGGTGGTCAAGTGCAACTTCTCAAGACTACCCCCATTAGCGATTCCCCAGAAGGACTCCCTGCCTCTACCTCTTATTTGCAGCCATTATTTATTGGGGTAACAGACTAAGGATTTGCAGCTGGGGCTCTAGGGAGAAGGGCCCAGGGGGATGTGGAAGATTAGGTATGTGTGTGGGTCCGATCAGTCCCAGCACTCTTCCCTCAGAAACAAAGCCGAGCAAGATATACGAGGCGACATGTTGGGCTAAGGAAGCTTCCCGAAGATTCAGAACCTGAGGTTTTTCCTGGAAACGGGTTATATGGACACTCAGCACAGACCCAACTCAAGACCGCCTGAAGGAAAGCCAGCCTTCTGCACAAAACACATTCTTTGCATAAACAGGCACAGTAAACCCACTTTATCTGTTTAGGGAACTACGGGGTCAAATAATTTATTTATTCATTGATATCACCGTGAGTTACAGTTATGAAGTTATGACATCTGCTTATAAATGAAGGCCAAATACTTAAAAATCGAGTTCGAGGGGACTCCCAGGGTCCCTCAGGGCATCGTCTCTGCCTGCCACACTAACCCTTTCCTGCACAGCTGTGCTAGTTATCGTTTTTAAAGTGATCTTTATCATTCTGGAACATGAATTCTGTAATTAAGACTTGAAGTAAATATTTTCAGTGACACTGATGGCGTTTGGTTCCTATCACGGTTTCCATTTACATATGAGAAGTTTTTAGTCTCTTAGTCAAATTAATCGATCTTTCCCCTCATACTTAAAGGTTCTCCACTCAAAAGGATCTGTGCTATTTCTTTAAAAGTTTGACAGCTCAACCTCTCATATTCAATTCCTTAATTGATCTACATTCATTTTATTTTATATGACAAAAGACCAAAGTAAAAATTCATCTTGATTTTTACTGGGATGATCGATTGATTCCTGGGCCATGTAGTAAAGAGTCGATGTCCTTCCCGCCACCTCCACGGGACCGGTGTCTGCTGAAAGCAACCGTCCCCATGCACAGTGCTGGCACTCTGGCTGTCACTCTGGGGGCCCTGTTCCACAGAGATGGTGCTGGACCACTGTGCATTTCTGCATCTAGGATGTTCTCCAAATGGTCTCTGACAGCTACAAGGACAAGCCCGCTCAAAATACATGCAATTTTTAATCTGCTGGTAGGCGCACCAGGCCCTTTCCAGATGTGTAAAGAGGAGAGTTGTAAGCTTTTCTGGACTCGATATTTTATTTGATATCTCGCATTCTATTTTCAGTTCTCACAACAGTCTATATATGATTGCTTAGCTGGGAAGTAAAAGTGATGATACCCTCCTTGACCTCGAAGAACCCTGACGGAGATTCGCAAATACAAAAGCAAGAGGAAAGCACATTCTTCCCATTTTCAATAAGACTGTGTTTAAATTACCATCCCCGTGATACATCGAGAAGGCAAACTGCTCATTTTAAAATCCTAATTATCAGCAGATATGACCCCCAATGGCAAGTCAATCACAAGTGCGATCAGTTATTCTCAGATCTCAAACTGGTCACCCCCGGACACACGGAGAGGACTCCTGGCTCCCAAATTTCTAATTTCCCTTAGAATCAAGAACAGATTAAATTATTTATAAAAACAATAAACTCTGTAATTGTTTCCTGTTTTAATGTAGATTATTTCCTTTCAGCAAGTGTCTCTTCTTTAGTATAGCATTTTAACACTCAAAAGAAAATGACCAAAACTTTGCCATATGACTAAGAAGGTAGAAATAAGTGGTTTTCATCATCTGTTTGATTTTTAATAAGGTATTAAGCTACTGGCCAAATGAAATGAGTGTCCAATTTCTAACTCTTTACAGTATTTTGAAACAGATGTTAACATTTTACTTTGTTGTTCCTTAATATTTGTCTTTTGAATCAACTGCAAGGTTCTTCTGGTGTAAATATTTTCTTTCATGCCTTAGCTGTTTGATCACTTTATTTTTCCTGGCTAAAGTTTCACATTTTGCTCTTTGAAACATTCTGGTCAGACCCTTTGGGTCTAAGACTTCAAAGTGAGCCAGACCAAATGGTAACCCAAGATGAATTCTATCCAAGCATTTTAAATCCAAACGTAGTTCTTCAAAATGCATGATGTGCATTAAGAAAAATTGTTTCCTTCTTTTTTTTTAATCACTGAAATCCAAGGCTAAAAGGTAGAAAAAATTAATTTTGGTATTATATCTTGGAGTTTTCACTGACAAACTGACAAACTTAGGAAGTACCAGCAATGATATTTAAAAGCTTAAAAAGGGCAGTTATTATATTGGATGTAGCTATTATTATATAGGCAGTTGTTATCTAGGATAGAGCTTCACAATAAACTCATTTTTATATGAAAAAGGGGCCTTTATAAACCAAATATAAAGTGTTGGCTATTTTTTGCCAAAAAACAGCAATAACAGCTTTTTCGTTCATGGAAAAAAACTGCTGTCCATGCACAGTTTTGAATATGCAAGATTGAAATATCACGAATGTATGGTCTTTAGTTACTACAGCATTGATATAGAAAATTTCCTTATGAAACATTGAGATTCTTGACAAGCATTGGTTTTTTGTTTTAAGTTTTGTGTTTTATTTATTGATCACTACTGGCCAGAACTGGGGGCCAGGGATTGAACTCAGGTCTGCTGAGAGCCAGGCAAGTACTTTACCTGTGGAGCATGGTGACAGGCCTCAGAGCTGATAAGATCTGTTCCTGCACAGCAGATAAGACCTGCCCCTGCATAGTGACCCAGTAGGGAGTGTCTGGGTGCATTTTATAAGCACCAGGAATCTGGTGTTGAGTCCCATCCTCCAAGAATTATCACCTAACTAAAATTCCTAACTGTAGCACCTCTCCTTATCTGGGATCAGGCCGGGGCAAAGCAGAGTTGGAAAGGTGATAGGTCAGTTTTGCTAAACTTTATGTGATTGGACCATCTTCTTAAGTTGAGACCGCCTATAAAATATGTGTGCATTTGGCAATAAAATGAGCTGCCATCAGCTGTCTCCTGGGTGGTTCTCCATGCACCCACCATTCTTCGCCCTGCGTCTGCCCAGATCCGGGATGCAACATGTACAGGCACCGTTTGAGAAAAATAGTTCCCCAACATCTTACCGACTCCCCATCCCAACAGTAAGTCTCTTAAGAGTAGGACTTATTTAACCAATTAGCAGCCGGAAGAGAAGGTCATAAACGTTCCTCAAGAATCAAAGGACTAACTAGTTGGTTCAGTTTTAAATGATTAGCTATGCCCTAAAATAGCTTTTTGGTTAAAAACCTCTGAGCTGATTTACAAAAATAAAAAGGTATTTTATAAATGAGACCTTTTTTTGACATTTAATTAAGTTTTTCGGCAATGTTGTATTGCGGAAATATAGTGCAAGACCCCAAATCACAGTTCTCGGTAATGAAGTGATGAAAACAATTTTCAAAGCGCCCAAAGCAAAGCACACATGGATGCCATTGAAAGCAACCACAAAGCAATGGGAAAAAGAGAATTAAATTCTCTGGGTTAGTAGTAGCGTATCAGCTTTAATTTTCTGCTTTTTGGTAATTGTTTTGTGAAAATATCTCTTCTTTTAGAAAATAAAAACTGCAGTCTTTAGGAGTAAAAGACCATAACATGCACTAAGAGCTTTTCATTGACTCTAAAAAAATTACATTGATATATGTGTTTACTACATACATGTATTCATAAATGTGTATAAAAAAACCCCATAGAGATAGAGTCAGTGTACTGAAGTGGTACCACTTTGGGGTTCGTAGTAACGGGCATATAGGAATTCTTTGATGCAGTTGTACCTCTAATGTTTCTAAAATAATGTCAGAGTCAAGCACTCAAAATCTGAAAAAAATTTTATGACTAAAACAGTTAAATCAACCAACACAAAAATGCTAACACAAATCTGGAATTTCATCAGAAGTGAACAAACTAATCTCTCTAAACTTAAACCTAGACTTTCAGGCAAACAGTTTATCCTATTACCAAATAAATGAGAGGAAGTAGGGAAGTTGAAGAGTAAAGAAAACAATGCATTTGTGCAATGGAAAAAACATTCAACATAAACAGAGAAGAAAGTAAATAGGGACTTGACTTGAGTCCTAAAACACAATTATGTCCTAGATAACAGAGGATTAAATTTAGAAAAATAGAAAACAATCTGAGCTAATTTTCTGTTTTGGAGGGAACACACGTTATCATTAAGTGAGAATGTCTCCTTGCCTTAAACTGATCTAGCTTGGAACTAAATGAAATAAACTTAATTAGAAGGTAGTCACTGAATAATTTCTCTCATCCACAGAATATAAAGAAATGGAAATAGTAAGTGCCCAAAGACACAGGAAGTGAGAACTCGCCTGTAGTGGGTGCTCACCAGGGCAGGAGGCAGGGGTTGGGGGACAGGTGGACACCCTGGGCGTGACACCCTACCAGTAACAGTTTGGGGAAACATGGTGCCTATAAGAAATTGTTTTTAAAGAAATAATTTAGCAAGTCTCATGTGGTAAAGAAGGGCAATCACCTATTCTCTACCACATCAATGAAAGGCAGACTGGAAACCTGTCTTCATTTTTTGAAGTATATGAAAGCATTACATGTTAATAAATAAAAACCGGTTTTCGCCACAAAGTAAAATCATCAAAAATGGGAAAATACAGGAAATGTAAGACAGGAAAGAGAAAAAAGAAAAAACCACATTCTTACCCAATGGGGAAATCAACATCATCACCATGAGCTGTCATGTGATAAAGTCCAAATTTTGCCAGTTTAACATGTCCCTGCAGCAATAAAGGGGCAAAAATCACCACACAATACTTTGTAGAATTGGCAGTGAAAGTTATCAGTATTATAGATTATAGTCAAGAATTATAGACAGTAAAAAACATTTTAATTTACTATTTGTATTAAAATTTTTTGCCAATGTTTGGTCTGATTTATTATACTCATTACAAATATATGTGTGTATATAGGTGTATACACACACACACACACTGATCTTTGTGTATGTATATACACATATCATATCAAAATGATAAATACCATTAAAAATTTGTGATAACCTTTAGCAACTTTTTCATAAAAGCAAAAATGTTCCCATATGTCTTAGATACTTGTTTAGAATACTATGTGATAATATTAAAGGGTTCTTTCCAGCGAATTTCAAATCCATTTACAATATTAACCCGAACACATGAGTTCTTTTCTAGTTTGTTTGTTTTTTGGGAGGCCACACCCAGTGATGCTCATGGCTCTGCACTCAGGAATTACTCCTGGTGGTGTTGGACAGCCATGATGCTGGGGATCAAGCCCAGGTCAGCCGTGAGGCAAGGACTCTACCCACTGTGCTATCCCTCCAGCCTCCTTGACAGAGGGGTTCTTAACTTAAAAAAAGAGCAATTTGAAATCATCAATAAGGAAATCTTCCAGATTTTTAACCAGTTTTATATTGTTTGAGAATAACTAGAATTATCACAGGATTGAGATCCTTAATAAAGGCAAATATAGTTTTTTAAATCTTTTTCAGTTTTTTCCTCTTAGATGCTTAACTTTTAAAAGTAAGGTCAATTAAAATTTTATTTGCTTTCTTCCTGAGAATATTAACTTGAAGAATATATTCTTGAAGATATACCACCTTGTTTAAAGCAAAAATTTATTAGGCAGGTTGACTAATTTCTTATTAATTCCACTCCAGATATTAGCAGCTGGTAAATAAAAGATGATAAATGAAGAATAAAGACACAATCGAGAAAAAGAATAGAGTAAAAAATATTGTGCTATGAGAAAAATGTTCCCTGAAAATAATCAGATACTTTCTTAGGATTGAAGCAAAATCAGAGGAGAGAGGGACTGAGAACAGGCAATGCATGTTTCTCAGAAAATGAGCAAGAGAAAAAAATGAAGCTAGAAAACAACCCTGGGGGTAAAATAATTTATGAGAGAAATACATGAAAATTTAAATTTAAAACTGGGGTGCTGTGATTCAGTCCTGATAATGGTGGCTTCACGGTCCATCAGTTCAGCACCAGTCCACGACCTGGATGCTCACTTCCTCCACCAAGCTCTCCAGTGCCCGAAATGAATCCCTGTGTCTCATCCCCACACAGCAGCATTTCATCACTTCTTCTCAAGAAGAAGATGCCAAACACACATTCTTGTTCTGTCATCCCTCTGACTATCCAACAGGTGTGAGTTCAGAAGCTCCCAACCTAACTTACAGATAGTAGATTTAATGCATTATTTGATTCGTACCTTACGATCCAAGAGAATATTATGAGGAGAGAGTGCTCGGTGGACCATGCCATGCTTGTTCATAAACTGCAGGCCCTGAAGAACCTCAAATGCTATGCACAAAACTTTGGAGTAGCTGCAAAAAAGACAGAGAGTCACAATTAATTGGTCAGTTACAAAATATTATAAAGAACCTGTTTAAGGAACAAAATGAGATTTAATTAAATGGTTATAATTAGTCTTCCTCTATTCACAAATAGAATCTATACGTTTACTAAATATCCAAACTGCACATATTTTGTATTTTCCGACTATAACAGAACTCATCTGAAAAAGCTCTTACCCCAAAGATGGTGTTTTTTTCAGTGTCTAATTTTGATAGTGTGCAAGTCTACTTTTTACAGGTTTGAATTTGCCAAATTATCAGGAAAGTGGACGCCCACCTACAAGATGGTCAGACTTCTTCGTCAAGACCCTGAATGATCGGTTTGAGGATCTGCATGTTCCTAGAACGAACAGATGCCATTGGGCTACACTAGCACGCAATAGGGATGAATGGAGACGTTACTGGCACCCACTCGAGTAAATCGATGAATAACGGGGGATCGAGTGATCAAGTGATCAGGAAAGTGTCATTTGTATGGCAAAATTAAGGTAATGAAAACCACCTCTCCTGCTCAAGATAAAATACTAAAGGTCTGAAAAACAAGAATAATATATTTTATGGTTGAGAGACATGAGTCTTAATTGCTTTCTGCATCAATTTACAGATACAATGATGAAAAGTGTAAAATCAGTCTGTAATTTTGTTGCAGATATACAATTAGTCTTCTCTACAAACTGTAAAGATTCCTTTTTTGCTTTATCTTAGCGCTATAAAATTATAACCCAATGTGAGCATTTGCGCACCTCTGCTTCCTTCCAAAATTAGTTTTTTGTATGACTCCCATGTTCCATGGACAAAGAAAGATGACAGAGAAAAATCAATTTGTCATCTCAACATTATCTCCCTCTCCTGTTCCCTTTATTCGGAACTCATTGCAGGCAGGAGACAATCTCACCTATTCCCTGTGTTGATCTGTTTTTATTTCTTGTAAGGACGGCTGCTAGTCCTACCTCATTAGGCACTTAATTACTATTAATGCTCTTCAGTTTGCTAACTGCTCCTTCTCAATAAATTATGCTTTTTGATTTTGACTCTGTTATTGTCAGAGTTCTGAGGATAGCTATTTCAGTCTGCACCATGTTTCCACAGGGAATGGAGGATCAGGTAATGCCTGGTTGTCAGCTGAAAAACGGATATTCTGGCTTCTCCTTTATATACTGCTTCATGTAAACAACAAAGATGACTATTAATAAAGAGCTTATTTAAAGTGGCTTACAGTCTATTGTTCTTTATTAAATAATCCCATATGAAAAGTCACAAAGAATAAGTCTTAAGCAAAAAAAGGACTTTGAAGCAAAAACAAATGCACAGTTTTCACAAACACCCCCTGCCCCGCCCCAATCAGTCAAACTTTAATTCAACTAGAATTAGTGATAACTATGTGAAGAGAAAAGAATGTGAATCCCTCCCTTTTAAAAACAAACCAAGTTTTTCTTTGAGATTGATTAGCAAATAAGAACCCAGTCTCAGGAGCTCATTTGGCTGCAAGATTCAACTTTAAAGTGGTAGCCCTGGGGAGGGTGCGGTGTTGGAATGAAGTGCTTGAGAAAACATACTAATAGCACTGGGAACCACAGCATCTCAACAATTTTTAAAACTAATGTTGTGACCCTTTTGTTTCTCCTGTCCCATGCCCCATTCTTCCTTCTCTCAGCTGCCTGCATCCTTCACACACACACACACACACACACACACACACACACACACAGACACACAAACATACACACACACTCACACTCAAATACACTCACAAGACACGGCACAAGTTATCTTAAAAGGAATTGTCATAAGCAGTCACGACACTAGAGGGCCTCAGTTTCACAATATTTCACTTCAGTCTCGAAATCAAACCAAACCTCCAGTCTCTTTCTACCAAGACTGGTTCTGAAGTAGTTGCAGACGGTAAAACACATCTTCTATGTTCTCTCCTTGATTTTATTAATTGTTATAAGGTATATCTGGGAAATAGCATTCAGAAGCATTTGTGAAGCTGATGAAATAATTTTTTTATCTTAAGAATATAGGTGGGCTGGAGCGACAGCACAGCGGGTAGGGTGTTTGCTTTGCACGCAGCCTGGGTTTGATTCCTCAGTCCCTCTCAGAGAGCCCGGCAAGCTACCAAGAGTATCTCGCCCACATGGCAGAGCCTGGAAACCTCCCCGTGGTGTATTCGATATGCCAAAAACAGTAACTAGTCTCACAATGGACGCTCGAGAAACTCGATGAACAACGGGAGGACAGTGCTACAGTGCAGTGCTAAGAATATAGTTAAATCTCCTGACACAGCTTTTCTTAGTTACTACTTAATTGAGTTAGAGTTAGTGGGATGGTTATAGTTAAAATAAAAATAAATCAAATTTGCATTTATGCCCTTTCATAATTTAGGGTTGAATTTTATCTTCAAATGTAAGGTGCAGAAGAGAAGGGAAAGAAAATATAGTTCTCTATAATAATATATTATAATAAAATATAGTTCTCTAAAAAAGTATCCATGGAATATTTTTTATACTTACGGGTCTCTAAATCTATGTTCAGTAATGCTGCCAATTAAATGCTGATTTTAAAACCAAGATTTCGAAGTTGCAATTTAAATGAATAAGAGCAAGGTTTAAAAAAAATTCTATAATAGCATATTACAGTTTAGTTGAAAGTGGAAGATAATAGAATAGAGAACAAGATTCATATGATTTAAGCAAACAAGGACTTTTCTCATACAATTCCCAACCCATAAACTTTTTTCACTTGAGGGGCCGTCACCTCCAGGACACTCAGACTGGGGAGTCAGTGCCCAGGGGTCAACGGGGGCCACAGAGCAGGCAGGGGTGAGGTGTGGCACCTGAGAACAGTGTCAGCATGTACTCTACCCCAGGCTCTGGCCCCGGCTGTCCACGCCAGAATCTGAGTGGAGAAATATGTCACTAGCCTGCAAACATAAGCGACCCTACAAGTCAGGCTGCCAGGGAGATGGTCCTTGGTTTGAAGCCCAGCATGGATAGCTCCCCTGAGCCTCACTAGAAGTGGCCCTGGGGGTCCCAGCACCTGGGGCCTGAGCAGCAGCACCCCCAGCCAGAAGGCGAGCACCATCAGGAGTGACCCGTCCCCCAGAGCAGTGCTCAGAAAGCCACCCCTGCCCTGCAAACAGACTCCTGGAATATTCTGGCATGACAGCTTTTCCCAGGGCCTGGGAGGGCAGTGTCCCTTGGTCAGCTTGTGCTGGGCACCGAGGCCCAATGAGCAGAGAATCCTGGGTGATTCTGAATACACAAATATGGTCAAACAATGAATAATTTCTCTCTTCAAAGCAAGACAGTTTCTGGAAGCTCCAGAGGCCCCTGGCCATGTGGGCCTGCTGAAGCCCAGGGTGAGACTGGCTTCTCCAAAACCAGAAGCTACAGGCTGGTGGAAAAGATGAGATGCTTTTTGTTTTGTTTTGTTTTGTTTTTCTTTTTGGGTCACACCCAGTGATGCACAGGGGTTACTCCTGGCTCTGCACTCAGGAATTACCCCTAGTGGTGCTCAGGGGACCATATGGGATGCTGGGAATCGAACCTGGGTCGGCCGCGTGCAAGGCAAACGCCCTACCCGCTGTGCTATTACTCCAGCCCCGATGAGATGCTTTTAAACTGATCATTTCAATATAACTGAATTCAAGAGCATTTAAATACAAGCGGAGTTCAATAATTAAGTTAGCAGATGAGAATTAATCATCCTTTCCCTCCGTCTTCTGAGGGAAAGAAAATGTGGAAATATATTTATTGCAACAGGGAGACAAAACAGACCTACAGAAATCATCAATCTTGGGAAGAGACCATTAAAAACTGAAAGAGAAAAAAAAACCCATCCCCCTCCCCACCACCGGTCACAAACACAGAGGCTGATCATCTTCAGGCCTGAGGCAACCTGGTTGCATTTGGATTTTGAGCCTGGCTTAATGAATTTCAAAGTTGTCAACCAGTAGAATTAATACCAAGCATAGTTTGTTTATCCCTTTCCAGATGTATTTCAAAGGAAGTTTATCTTGCACACTTGTGATTCACTCACCCCCTGCTCTCTGTGGCTGTTTAGTTTCGGGGGTTGAAACAGCCTACACACTCTCTACACTAACTCGTAGGGCTGCCTGACCTCACATGTGCTCGGCCACAGATGTTCCTCTAATCTCAGTCTATCTCCCAGATGGACAGTTTGTCACTGTGGACCCCATTTAGTCTCCGGGCCCTCAGGACGCCCCGCTTTTCTCCTGCAATCCCCTGCACTGCTCTGCTTCTCATCCCGAGGACCTAGACTGGGTCTCGCCGCCTCGTTGACAGACAGCCGTGGTGTGGAGCAGCTGCTTTATTCTACATCTCTCCCGGCATTTCAGTCTTCCTCTGGGAGCGTCCAAGAAGCTTAAGGCTTCCTATCCACTAGGCAGAGCTGTGATCCTTCGCATGCGGACTGCCTTCACTGGGAGGGTTTCTGTTTGAGCCTTTCTCTACTCAAGCCTGAAGCGATACCAGCTGATTCCAACTCTAAGTTCCTGGGGATGTCATCAGATCAAGCAGGCAGGTGAACAAAAATATTACAAAATAATAAATGTATGCTAGTCAAAATACCTCTTCTGGTTACTGAAAGAAGAATATGATATATAGGATAATAACGTTAATAGGAACAGGCCAAAACATGAATTAGACTAAGTTGTTATAAGACAGCCCTACAATTTTTTTCTGTCTCAAAATACTATTTGTGTAAGTATCTTACATTTATATTATAAGGTAAAGGTAAAGGGCCTCCCGTTGATCGTCGATTTGCTCGAGCGGGCCCAGTAACGTCTCCATTGGAGACTTTGTTGTTACTGTGTCTGGCATATCGAATACTCTCGGTAGCTTGCCGGACTCTCCGAGAGGGGCGGAGGAATCGAACTTGGGTCGGCCATGTTGGCCACTTGTAAGGCGAACGCCCTACCCGCTGTGCTATCGCTCCAGCTTATATTC